TACTGCTGCTGGAAGTTGATTCCAAAGAGTGGTTGTGCATGGAGGAAAACTATAAAACCCTAAAGCCATAGAAATAAGTACAAAACTCGAGAAGCTGTAACTCAAAGATCCTGCACTATTAGGATTTGATTTTTTTTCGTATTACTGGTTTTATAGGAGGCTAGTTATTTATCAAGGTTTTGAATCCAGCTAGAACAAGATATAACTATAAAAAAAAACCTGAAATAACATTTTTATTTTTTATATTGCGTAAATTTTATATGTTACGGTTTATATTTTTGTTTTATTTGTGTATGTTAAAGCCGCATAGAAGGACACTAGTAGATTTACAGAAACACATATGGGATCAAATATTTTTATAATTTTAATTTTTTCTAATATTTACAAAATAAATAATATCTTTTGATCAAGGTACATTTGAACATCATTACTTTTGTAATGATCTATTCTACAAAATAAAAATAATAAAAAAGATGGTTGTTTTTTGGGTCAAAAAACACACTGTGGGGCACTCTAATTGATGCTGTGCTTCATCCTCGAATATGTACCACCGGTGGTACGCGCCGCCAGATAAGACAACCTAGTGCAGTGATTCTCGACCTTTTTTTTTGTTGCGGCACATATTTAACGATTTCAAAATTTGGCGGCACACAAAAGTGCCGCGGCACAGTGGTTGAGAATCACTGACCTAGTGTCCGACGGTGGTACGCGCCGTCCAATGAGACAGTCTAGCGCGGGTCACTGGTGGCTCGCTCTGGCGTGAACGTGTTAAAGACTAAAAATTATAATACATTATTGATGGCATTAAGGTGCAAAAGGGAATATTTAATTACTGCTATTGAAGTTTTTGATTTAAAAAAAAAAAAAAAAACTGTTACGTTCTTTTTTTTTCGTCACCCGGCTATTTTAACAATCTTAGAGCATTTAAACGGGAGTAGCCAAGCGCACGCATTCCCCTCTACCGAGATACATGTTCAAACGTTCATATTCGTTTATAAAAACTAGTTGACCGAGATCATCTGCCGTATTGCGTTCTTATCTGTCGCTGTCCGGAGCTCTGTAAAATGGTCGGTTGTGCAGTGATTTCGTGTAAAAGGAGATCGGAAACATCAAATTTGAGTAAAGATGGATTGTTTTATCACACGTAAGTAATAAAAATTTCTTATTCTCTCTTTATAGTACATTACTGCAGCGGCCAGCAACTGAGGCATTGTCCATCAATGCCTCAGTTGCTGGCCGCTGCAGTAACCGAAGTGTCCAGTAGCCGAACGTGCAAATGTGGGCCAAGGCGCAGCCGAGACACACATTTTTTTTTATACAACTGAGAATGGCAAACAAGCTGACGGCCCACCTGATGGAAAGTGGCAACCGTCGCTTATAGACATGAGCAGTACCATGGGCACAACAGAGTATACTGTTTCGCCCATGATACCTCCCATGCGTTGCTGCATTCCTAAGGACTCAGGTGTTATTCCTCTGTACCATGTAAATTCACGCCATAACCCATCGTTCAAACCCAAACACAGCCATGCAAACACAACTGCTTCACGGTTGAAACACGAATGGGACAGAGGTACTCAAGCAATCGACTTTTGTACAAAGTCTCCCTCTGGTAACTTACGTACTGTGGTGGTTACTGGTACACATACGTGAGTCCATCAATGCCTAGTTATGGCCAAGGCTTGTATAGTACTTTTTTCAAACAATGCGCGGAAATCAAAAACACAATTTTATTTTTTAAGTTCAATGACGAATAACGAACAATAATAATTTTAACGCGCTATAATGTTCCTTTGTTTTTTTTTTCAATAAACAGCTTTCTATTTCGAAGCCAGTTCGAAATTTAAATAAATCTTTTTATTAGTTACCTCCTTGGTAGCCATGTTTCGAAGTAAAAGGTCATTCCATTTTTAAATTACAGGACAGATATGAGTTTACATAGTAATTTATCTGCTCGCAAAACACGACAGATATGGATTTTCATACAACTTTTGCCGGCCGCTGCCCGCATGTATCTGGCCAGTATGGCAATTTTGATTTATCTCGAAGAAGATTGTCAAAATAATGCTCACATTTCCAAGCATGTTTGAGAAAAAATTGATTTTGTATTAAAAAGTTTGTCACAGAGTACATGGTTTGCGACAGAAGTTGCGATACATAATTTTGTGGTACGGGGTCTAGTGATGTAGTAATAAAGAACAATAGATTGAACTACTATGAATGAAATGCCGCTTCCTAATGATATGTATGTTACTGTTTTATGAATGTGGAAGTATCAGTGTTTATAACTAACGATTCACCTACACTGCGGTTTAAGGAATTCAATAAATTAATTCAATACTGGTATGATCCAAACATAAACAATATTTTATTTTATCATAAAAATTGAAGACTCACGTATGTGTGCCTCGGCTACGCCTCGGCCCACATTTGCACGTTCGTCCATCAATGCCTCAGTTGCCGGCCGCTGCAGTAATGTACTATTACTTATACTTTTGGCTATAGTGTTCGGAGGACTACTAAAGTTACTATTTTTTTTCACCGGACAAAAATACACGAAAGATATGTTATACCATTCTAAGACAAAGAGATTGAACTATACGGATTTCGTTCATTTGAACCCATCGCTACTATTTGCGTTAGTGTGCAACAAAATTATGGTTTAACTACAATAATTCTTTGTTTGTTGTTTGTTTTCACTCATGTATGCGTTTATAGATACGTTTAAATTTAGCTGCGTAGTAGTGTAATTATGTTAATGTGTGCCGTACGTGTTTACCTCGCCTCCCGCCTTGGGCAGAAAGATTTTAGTATCGGAAGCATCGCTTGGCTTCTCCTGTTTTAAATGCTCTAAGCAAAAGATAGATAGTGAACGGTGCAGCTTGACCGCTCGGTGAGCGTGGACTGTAGGGGTGCTGGTTCAGGCTGGAGAGAAACGATAAGATTTCTTTCTTGAAGCTCCCGGTTCCGTACTGAAGAGTTCTCCTATTTCCTTATCGGTTGGGGAGTGCATGCCGCTCGACGGTAGGCGGCCTATCTTTATACCCGCCCGGTCGCACGATAACATGTACCAACTCACATTAGTGAGTCTGTGCGAGCGGGACGGGGCGAGTGTGAGAGGGACGCGTAACTCTTCAGAGCCGGCACCATTTGGCGTCTATTTATTTATCATAATTATCCTTATTACTATTGTTTTTACAATCTTTTTCTTATTTCTACTTGTGGGTAATAAGGACTCGACACAATAAAATGCTTTATTCAACTTACAACTATAAATACATCCTATAAAGTCTATATAAAACTAACAATTTAAATGATTAAAAAACTAATGACTTATGCTAACAAAATAACTATAAAATATCGCTATAAACTATACATTTTTATATAAGAGATTATAATGTCGCGAACAGATAGATACTCTTTATTGTTCCCTCCATAAGATTACAATAGTAAACTTATTATAGATACAAACAATTACAAGAAATGATCACAGTGAGAAATGGTTATAATACTGTTGTTGGACTAGCACTGTTTCATTCCAAAATGATTTTGAGTAGTCGCAAATACCTGTCGCGACTTTGTCAGGAAATGAAATAAATAATGTCTGTGTGACAGAGCTGTTTGGCATCTGTTTAATTGCCTTAAAATTACCTACAATTTTATTGTAGGCAATTTAGGTAATAATTAAATAAGGATGTAGCTTTAGATTATATACGAGGGTCATTTGAAAAGTTCTTAGCCTAACATGGTTAAAGTCATTGGTTTTTTTTTTATAACTACCCTCATTTTGTAGTTACATTACTTAGCAACAAGTATGCAGTTTAGTTTATTCACAGTAACTCATTGTTCGTTTACACGTGACACCGTAAGTCAAGTCAGAGCTATTTTTGTAAATGGTTAAAATTGAACATCGTGCAGCGATAAAATACCTGAATTTGGAAGGTTTAACTCCAAAAGCTATACATGAAGACATGTCTGCCACTTTGAGTGAGTCCGCTCCTTCGTATGCAACTGTGTAAAAACTGGGTGGCAGAGTTTAAACGTGGTCGTGAGACCATTCAAGATGAGCCCCGTAGTGGCCGGCCTTTGACTGCTTCCACTGATCAAAACAAAGAAAAATCTGTGATTTAATTTTATCTGATCGAAGTTTGACTGTCGAGATAGCTAAGACTGTAGGCATCTCATCTGAGCGAACACATCATATAATTACTACTGAACTTGGATTCTCTAAGGTGTCTGCGCGGTGGGTACCGCGACTGCTTTCAGTGGAACAAAAACGCAACCGACTCACAACTTCTCGCCACTGTTTAAAGTTATATGAAGCTGACCTAATAGAATTTCTTGAAAGATTTATAACCATGGATGAAATCTGGGTTCACCACAATACACCCGAGACAAAAGAACAGTCGAAACAATGGAAAACAGCAGGATAGCCCACCCCAAAGAAGACAAAAGTGGTTTTATCGGCGGGCAATGTCATGGCATCGGTTTTTTGGGATGCAAAGGGTATAATTCTCGTGGATTATTTAAAAAAGGGTGAAACAATAAACTCCGATTACTATTGCAACCTGTTGCGTCGTTTGAAAGAAGAAATCAAAGAAAAACATCCAGGTTCATTTAGAAGAAAAGTCTTGTTTCATCAGGACAGTGCGCGCGTTCACACCTCTGTGCAATCCATGGCAGAAATCCAGCATTTGTTTGTATGTTTGTTTGGTTGTAATGAATAGGCTCAAAAACTACTGGACCGTTTTTAAAAATTCTTTCACCATTCGAAAGCTACATTATCCACGAGTAACATAGGCTATATTTTATTTTGAAAATCAATAGGGTTCCGTAAAATATTTGGGTTTTTCGGACACAAGGTGTAAAAAATCCACCAGAAATGTTACTTATTTTGCGTACGCTGCCTAAACTATAAAAGATAGAACCATAAAATGTTCTAATTAATTGTAGATCTTATAATATATGTAGATATTATATTATATAATATATATAATATAATATCTACAAAAAAGTCCGCGACACACTATACCTATCTATGTCAAGTGAGGCACAACAACCATTTTTTTATTTAAAAATCTTGATTTTGTTTTTGGACTACATATAAACGCATTTATTTTACTCGTGCTATTAATCCTTGTCAAAATAAATTTCATCACTAAGTACAGTTTATGTAGATAATATTTGGTCTTTGAATGATTAAAATTGGACGTTTAGTTTTGTAGTTATGGCGAAATTAAAATATTACGATTTCTGCTGCACGGCCCGTTACGAAGTGAGCGTCACCAAGGCGGGGGTGAGCGTGCGGGAGGGGAGTTTACATCTATGAGTATGGTACCCGCGCGGCTTAGACGCGTGGTCGGCTCCCTACGTAGCGGTCGTGCGCGAAGTCTAATAATTTTCGTGCGATTGTTTTAGATTTCGTTCTTAAAACTACACCTACGCAAAAGTTCTTCTCAGAGCTAATCAACAGTTCTTCTCAGAGCTAATCAACAGTTCTTCTCAGAGTTAATCAACAGTTCTTTTCAGGGCTAGACAACAGTTTTTTTTCAGAGCTAGAATATTACACGCTATTAACATTTTCTTAAACATTTGAAAATGCCTAAGAGAGCCAGGTCTCAACTTTCTAAATATACTTCTCAAGCACGGGCAGCAAAAATACGTCGTATGGGAGAATCTTCATCTGAACGTTCACAACGCCTTGCTGAACAAAATCAGAGAAACTCTCAGGTACGCGCACGAGAGTCGAGTGTCGAACGTTCGCAACGCCTTGCACTACAAAATCTGAGAACCTCTGAGTTACGTGCACGAGAGTCGAGGCCGGAGCGTTCCCAACGTCTTCATGAACAAAATGTAAGGACCTTAGAGTTACGCGAACGAGAGTCAAGTGTCGAGCGTTCGCAACGCCTTGCCGTTAGTGTCTGTGAATTGACCTGGGGATCATTTTGCTGACCGTGTCTTTCGTGGGTAGGCTTTTTGCAGCGGTAACCGATATCCACGCGGGCGGAGCCGCCGGCGACCGCTATGGTAGTTATAGGGATAACTCAAAGCATAGTACGTTAAACATTGGGATCTACAAATAAGTCCGCGATAGCATATGTCTAACTTTTACGGTTAGGTCACAATAATTACTTTTCTTTCTGAAATTACGAATAACCACGCTGGTCGCCGTCTGGGTGGTATTTTCATACTCCAGTATTAATCCTTATCCAAATAAATGTATCGAGTTATTTCCAAAAATTTCCAAACCCAACGTCGACTATGCCTACGAGGCCTATGTTTAGCAGTGGACAAATAACGGCTGAAATGGTATAATTTGTTCCAGGACTTCAAATCGTATTCTGATGCGGAGTCGATGATATCAGATAACGAAGAAGTAACAATTGAAGCCACAAGCTCCGGGGGGCGGCCGTATATTACCATAGATGGCAGCACCGTCAGCACAGGACGCAAGAGGCCGCGGCCGGTTGGTATTGGCCTAGTTTATTTATTTATTTAACTCCTTATTGCACCAAAAACATAAATATGTACAATGATAAACATTTACCAGGGGGAGACTGTACAAAAGTCGATTGCTTGGCCACCTCTGTCCCATTCGTGTTTCTACCGTGAAGCAGTTGTGTTTGCATGGCTGTGTTTCGGTTTGAAGGGTGGGATATGGCGTGAATTTACAGGGTACAGAGGAATAACATCTGAGTCCTCAGGAATGGCAACGCATGGGGGGTATCATGGGCGAAACAGTATACTCTGTTATGTCCTGCTCATGTCTATAGGCGACGATTACCACTTTCCATCAGGTGGGCCGTCAGCTTGTTTGCCATTCTAAGGTGTATATCTTTATTGTACGAAAAACATAAAAATATATTATGACAATTCAGCGGTGGCGTTACCCATTGCAAGGATCTGGGTGGTAGGTCGTAGGTAGATATATTTTAGTGTTGGTTATTTTCGCGATGAAAATGGTTGAGTTTGTCAAGACTGATGACGGTATATTTTGTAGAATAAAACTCTTAAACTATATATATGACTTAATGATTTTTTGTCCAACAGACTGCGGCTGGATTGAGTAAAAAATACAAAGCCACCTCCACACAAGACGACGTTGATGTGATGAAATTGATGGTAAGAAGCAATAAAACATCTTAACGCCTCAGTTTTCATGAATGGCAACGCATGGGGGTATCATGCGCGAAACAGTATACTCTGTTATGTCCACGGTACTGCTCATGTCTATAGGCGGCGGTTACCACTTTCCATCAGGTGGGCTGTCAGCTATTTTGGTATTTTTTTTTTTATTTATATTCTTTAGTGCACTTGCACAATACATATAGCGATTAGTTTAACAACTTGTTAGCCAGTTAAATAAAAAAAAATAGCTTTAGTATACATGACTTTGCAGAGAGAAAGGAATTACTAGTAATGGGACCTAGAAGTCTTATTGCTAGCAATATACCCTATCAGGTCAACTTGCACGCGGTTTCTCCTGGAAACTATCTTGGTTTGTTCTTCGTAAATAAACCAAATCGTCACTATGAGCCAATGGACCTGTTTTCATCATCACCTTTCATCCCTTACTGGTGCCCCACCAATGTGTACTGATAGCTCAGGCGGGGTTGCTATTTCATTATCATCCATAATTTTTTTTTTTTAAGAAAGAAATAGAGAAACTGAGGCTTTAATTTGACCCTAGTATCTTCAACCCATTTAAAACTCCCAAGAGGTCCTAAACCCTTAAAAGTGCATATTATGTACTTTCAGACATGTCTTTGTGACCGCAGTCAGACGTAGTTCAATTGGGGGGAAAGGGATTGTTAGAAGTGGGGCTTAAAATTCTCATTGCTCAATATACCCTATGAGGGCGATTTCCACACGGTTCCCCCTGGAAACCATATTGATTGTTGAAATTGCCATGCTGGCATTTTGCCAACTGACCTGCTTTCATCTTCACCTATATCATTTCCGACTGGTGCCCGGTCAGCGTATACCGACAGCGCAGGCGGGGTTGCCATTCCATTATTATCCCTTAAACGTTCAAATGAATTCATTTTCAGGGGAGACTGGCTCCTTAAAAAAAGGGTGAATATCTACTCTTAAGACATGTCTTTGCGAATCTTCGCTTACATCTTGGAATAGGTACCAGATAGTTCTATTGTAAGCATGTCCTACCCCTCTTCTAAATATGCCCATGGTAAGCTATGACCCCAATAATTATAATTCGCCTCAATTGACAAAGTACGCCCATCATAAATGGCAATCCGCCACCCAAATCCAGGAGAAGGGGATTCCTAAACATAGCACCTTGAACACCAAAAAAGAATACGCCCACTGTTGTCACACTGCTCTATTAAAGAAACCATTACATTTTCAGGTGGTAGACGACATTACGGAACCCTCCAAACCCGTAAAGAGGAGAGTCGACGTCTTGCTCAAAATGTGTCGTACTATGTTCAGGGAGAAAGACCACGAGATATCCATCTTGAGAGAGCAAGTCGAGGAGTTGACGAAAAAGAATGTCCGACTAAGAAACGCCCTGATCGATATGAAGAAAACCGCCACTATTGAAGACACGGAAATCCCAGAAGAAACACCCACAAGTGGGAAGAAAAGTAAAGATGTTAAAAAGGCGAAAGTTAAACAGTGTAAACACAAAGGAGACGAAGTTAAAGTCGCAACTGTTGGAACAATACCCGAGCCGACAAGAGTTAAAAAGGAACCTGTAGATGTAAAAATTGATAATAATATAGAGATACCGAGAATAGGTGATGAAATTAACACTAGAAGCAATGTAATAGAAGAAATTGGACAAGAAATGGATCCGTTAATAATAAAAACAGAACCTGTATACGACAATGAAAGGCCTGTGGCAGTAACAGAGCTCAATTATTGTGACACAGAAGATGTTGTCGCGTTTATGGCTGGACCGATATCTATTGAAGAAACAGCGCCCGATATAGTCGGTTTAGAGACTCACGATGTGGTTATCGGAGATGGTGATTCTGAATCTTTGTGGAGTACAATCAAACAAGAGGTTGATTAACAGTTTAATAAGTGAAAAATAATAGTTAAAATGATACTCGCCACTTGCGATAGGTAATATATAGCACAATATCTATATATTTTAGTTACGATATCTATATATACTGGTACAATGTTAATCCAAAGAATAATACTTTTGACATATTCGTAAATAGATATCCGACTGATATAGGTGATATCGAATTGAAATGAAAAACATTTTTCTACCATTCATGTCTAGTAGAACGCAATATATAGGATATCGGATCGGTATCCACAGCATCCATGCCTACTCTCCACATTATCGATAATAGATATAGTAGCTATACATTACCTACCTCTGCTTTGTGATGTTTAAATTGACAGTTATATTACTATCCTTACAATTGGATTTAGTATAATTACATTCTTTTGTTATAGTTTTCTTTTTTTTTTTAAGTGAATAAGCGATTTATCTACTCAAATTGTAACATTTGGAGAAAAGTTAATGTTACAGCTGATGATCAATTTATTACATTAATTCCTATATTAATGTTTGTAATGGTCAATCGACCAATGTTACAATTTGAGTAAAAAGATCAATTCATAACTTACTCAAATTGTAACATTTAGAAAAAGATCAATATTACAATTGGTAGTATTCTCAACCGACTTCAGAAAGAAGAAGGGTCTTAATCGTACCTTTTTATAAGGTTGTTACCTCATAATTACGTAATTTTTTTTTTATCTGAAAGGATATAGTTAAGGATTGGTGCCAAAAAAATGTTAGATTAGTTTTTAAATCAAAACACACTTGAATCTTGAATTTGACACAATTGAAGTTCGTATTTTTTTTTTACAAATTTGTTTATAATCGGAAAATAATTATTAAAGATGTAAAAATTGCAAATTGTGCAAAAAATTGAATCTATCTCCTTTTTATACCTGTATGTATAAAGAAATTTTTTTTTATTGTTCTTGTATTTTCGTTTGTAAGAGAAACAATCGAATTGTAACATTTGGAGAAATGTTACATTGTATTGTAATCTATGTTACAAAGTTGTTTAATAACGGAAAAAAATGTGAAAAACGCTATTAAAGATGTTATGAAAGATTTACCTAATTAAATATGGAAAATTTGTGTGTTTTATTTCTTTCTTCTTTCTAGCAGTTCTTTTTCAAAATGATAAGAGAAATTAAAACGCAACTACCCCAGGAGGGTACCGGCACTGCCGGAGAATCCGTCCCTGAGTGCAACTCAGGCAGTCCCATCGTATCTGGGGGGGACAAATTTCTCATCGACGGCGATGCGTTATGCCACGGGTCACGTCATGTCTCCCCTGTTTCCCCAAATGGCAAAAAGAGGGCAAAGGAATGCCAAATTGCAACGATGAATGTTTGTGGAGGTATGGATAGTAAAATAGACGAAGTATGTGAGATGATGAGTGAAAGAAGAATTGATGTATTAGGAGTAAGTGAAACAAAAAAGAAAGGCTGCTCTATTACTACTTATGACCGATATACTGGGTACTGGTCCGGAGTTAATGACTCTGAAAGAAGCAGCCAAGGAGTGGGAGTTATTTTGTCAGAGAGAATGAATGCATCTGTTAAAGAATTTGAATTTGTAAGTCCTAGACTCCTCTGGATACGATTGAAAGTTGGTTTGACCCGTATTTTTCTCCTTTGCGCTTATGCCCCGGATATGTCCAAGCCACCAAAGGTCAGAGAGGATTTCTGGGATAGTGTAAGGGAGATTATGACTAAATGTAAGGAGAATGAAAGAATTATTTTGATAGGTGATTTTAATGGCTGGGTGGGAATCCGTCGCGATGGATATGAAAGGAATTTAGGAATGTTTGGAGATAAAAGAGTGAATGAAAATGGTGAAAGTTTATTAGAAGTATGCCTGGAGAGAAATCTGGTGGTGACTAATACTTTGTTTAGTCACAAACTGATTCATATGTATACATGGCAAAGGCAAACTGAGAGAAGTATGATTGATTTTGTAATTGTGGATGAACGATTGAGAGCGAAAGTGAAGGATACAAGAGTCTATCGTGGTACGAATGTCGGAACTGATCACTTTTTGGTGATATCGAGAATAGGTGGCTTATTCAATAAATGGCGACATCGTCCACGTGTTCGTATGTCAGAAATAGAAAGAGTAAGAGTAGAGAGACTGACAGAAGAACAGGTTCGAAATCAGTATCAAGAAAGATTGAATGAAAGATTTAGAGAGCTACTGAAGAAAGATAACTATGAGATAGAAGAATTTTGGAAGGAATTTAAATGCGGAATCTTTGATATAGCTACTCAAGTTTGTGGTGTAAGTAAGAGGAAGGATGTTAAGATGAGAATGAATGTATGGTGGGATGGCGAAGTGAAAGAAATGGTGGCTCTAAAGAAAAAGGCATGGATGGATTTGTTAGCTACCAGAGCTAATAAGAGAATGCAAGGTAATGTAAGTGACATTGAAAAAATTGCAAAAGAGAAGTATGATGTAATGAAAAAGAAAGTTAAAGAATTAGTAAGCAAAAAGAAAGAGGAATGTAAGGATGAGTATGAAAGGAAATTCTCTAGAAATTTTCGAGCTAATCAAAAGCTTTTCTGGCATTTAGTTCGAACAGCTAGAGGTAAAAAGAGAGATCCGAAAATGGGCGTGATAAGGGATATGGATGGTAATGTTATCACGGAACAAAAGGAAGTCTTAGATCATTGGAAGAGATATTTTGAAAGTTTATTTGAACGTGGAAGTGAAAGAAAGAATGTTGAAAATGAAATAATGGACGAAGAAGTTGACAGTGAAAGTGATATAAGTATGGATGAAGTAATGAATGCAATGAAGATTATGAAATTTGGTAAAGCAGCGGGATTTGATAGAATATCTGCCGAAATGCTTAAAGAAGGTGGAGAAATCATTGTAAACCTGCTGTGTCTGCTGTTCAATAAATGTTGGCGGTCCGGTTGTGTTCCAGGTGACTGGAGCAAAGCTGTTATTGTGCCACTATATAAAGGCAGCGGGTCACAGCAGGAGTGCAAAAATTTCCGCGGAATAAGCCTTCTTAGTGTTGTAGGCAAATTGTATGCTAGGATTTTGATTAAAAGAGTGATGAATGAGACGGAAAGTAAAATTTGGGATGTGCAAGCAGGGTTTCGAAAGGGTATGGGATGTACGGATCAAGTCTTTTCCTTAAGGTGCATAACAGAGAAAACCTTAGCTCAACATCAGAAGGTTTTCTGCGCCTTCATTGACCTTGAAAAGGCTTATGATAGAGTGGAGAGGAATGAACTGTGGTCAACACTGGCAATGTATGGGGTGAGCAGCCATTTGATACGGGCATTCAAATCTTTATATAAGGATTCAAATGCCTGTGTCAGAATAAATGGAGTCTATACAGACTGGTTTGGCATTGAACGCGGTGTTAGACAGGGCTGTGTAGCGTCTCCTTGGCTGTTCAACCTATTTATGGACAGTTGCTTGACCGATTTGAAAGGATCTAATTGTGGATTCAGGATGAATGAGTCTCTGTTTAAGACTCTTTTATACGCCGACGACCAAGTACTTTTTGCATCGTCGGAGTATGAATTACAACAAATGGTGACTATAATGAATGAAGCGTATGCAAGAAAAGGTATGAAAATAAATGCGAAGAAGACGAAGGTAATGGTTTTTGAGAGGAATGAAAGTTTAACGGCATGCCAGATTATGATAGGAGATGAAAAAGTGGAGCAAGTGAGTGAGTTTCTATATTTAGGTTCTTTGTTTACGAGGGATGGGAAGTGTGAAAGAGATATTGAGAGGAGAGTAAAAGCGGGAAACAGTGTTAACGGTGCATTGCTCTCGATTATGTCAAGTAAAAATGTATCGAGCAAAGCTCGCCTTGCTATAATTCAAGGAGTACTGACACCAACACTCATGTATGGAAGCGAATCGTGGGTATGGCAGAAGAAGCATGAAAGTAAGATAAATGCTGTACAGATGAGAGCTTTGAGAAGTATGTGTGGTATTACTTTAAAAGATAGAGTAAGAAACAGTGTGATTAGAGAGAAGTGTGGACTGAAAGTCGATGTAGTGACCAAAATCGAAAAAGGAATGTTGCGTTGGTTTGGTCATTTGGAGAGGATGGATGAAAGAAGAATTACGAAAGAGATTTATCGAGCAAGAATGAATGGAGATGTCGGTAGGGGCCGCCCTAGACGGACGTATGTCGACCAAATAGGCGACGTGCTGAAGAAGGGCCAAATTAAAAGTACCCGTAACCGACGAGCGTGTATGACAAGATTGATGAATGTGGAAGAAGCGAAAGAGGTTTGTTTGAATCGAAGCATTTGGCGTTCCATTGTTTCTGCCTACCCTAATGGGAGACAGGCGTGACAGATATGTATGTATGTATGTATTATTTCTTTCTCTGTATACGGACCGTGTTTAAAAAATTGGCACGTTTAGTAGAAATAGTATATGTACATACATAATAGATGGTAGATACTGCACCTGACCAATTTCGAAGAGGGGGGGGATTGTTAGTTTGCGGACTACCAATCTTATTATTAGCAATATACTGTTTTTTTATTGTTTTGCTGGTGTCAGTTTTGTTAATATGTAATCGATGAGTTAAGAAAATCTGTAATTGGTATAAATGCAAGATGCAAGCCCTGTATATCAATTAAAATTAATGTCTGAATTTACACTGTTGATGTACCTTTTAAAAATAAATAAATATACCCTATCAGGTAGATCTCCCCATAATCCCCCCTGGAAACCATCGTGTTGAAGTCCAAATAGAATTAAATCACGATGGGCTAATTGACCTATCTTTTCACTCTCCCTCACTGGTGTCCCGCCAGTGTTATACCGTTAGCGCAGACGGGGTTACGATTCCATTATCATCCATTAAAAAAAAATAAGTAGGTATAGATAAAAGGTCTTTATGGGATTTCTTTTATAGCACAGGGTGCAAACGAGCATGCGGCTCACCTGATGGTAAGTGACTACCGCCGCCCATGATCGCCCACAACACCAGCGGCATTGCAGGTGTGCTGCCGGCCTTTTAAAAAGGAATATGCTCTTTTCTTGAAGGTTATGTTATCGTATCGGTTCGGAAATACTGCTGCTGGAAGTTGTTTCCAAAGAGTGGTTGTGCGTGGAAGAAAGTGTCTTGAAAAAAGGCACGGTGGAGGACCTTCACTCAGTAAATGTTATAATAATAATAATTGGATATTTTGGATCTACCTTTTAATAAATTTGGAACTATTATTAAAAAAAAAAAAAACAAAATCTATTACGCGCTAAACGATTACTCGAATGACAAGCGTGGCATGGTGTTAGTCGGTCATGCACGGGCTTTTAACGACCATGTAACTTTAGACATAGTACATTTAAATAAATACACATAATGTTAACAGAGATTTGAATGAGTAACTGTCGAGTTTCTTGCGGACTCTTCTTAACAGACGACTTTCCTAACCCTGCATTTTTAAAAAATGACGATTTAGAAGTGCTTGTAAAGAACTCTATTTGAAAAAAAAAATTGAATTTAAACTCATAATGAAGATTTGACGTTTTATTTGTAATGGATCAACTCGAAAAATATTTAACCGAATTTGAAAATTATTTCACCTATAAGAACCTGCATTATCAGTAACATAGGCTGTAGCTCATTTTAAAATAATTGAGATTTACTCGAGCGACGTCGGGGCGAGTCACTAGTATTATCATAAAAATAAAAGTGTACATTATGAATTTGCATAATTTTAGTTTTACTAGCATATGTAGTGAATTTGTAAAAAAAAATACCAAAATTTCGGGAATAAAAACTAGAAGAAAATTGGAGATAAAAAAGACAAAACAATGTTTTTATATTTATTAATTTATTGCCATAATGTTATAAAACATTTCGCATTTATTCTTCAAATAAAAACAACATTAACATCGAATAACAGTTTTTTAAGGAGTTTAACAACCTTTTACAAAATTAACAAGAAAATGTAAAACAATCCTCGCACTAGAATTAACCAGAGAATTGCGGTACTCAAAATAGAGGCAACTTTAATTATTTTTTTAATGTCGGTTTTTTATTTAATGATTCAACAGAATTAACATGGATACGTAAAGTACAATTGTATTTTACGATTTACGAACACTTACAAATCTAGTGTTGGGAGGAACATCAAGTGGTTAAAAGAAACCAGCTCCCCAATACACTGGCTTACTGTATAGAAACGAGATCATCCATTTTAGATCAAACCATTATAATAAGAGTTCTGGTTCAAGAATCAAGGTCAGTTTTTTGTGCATCCCTTTCTGAATGTCTTTTCTCTCCGTTATGTATTACAGTTGTTTCCTTGAAACATAACTGTAGTACATCAGCGTGGGTTACATGTTTACCCACGCCGATATACTACAGTTATGTTTTTATTTATATTAAGTAACTAGGCCAATAACAACAATATACTTATATATAAAATAACTATAAATAATTGGGGGGAGGGGGGGAAGGGATTGTTAGTAATGGAGACTAAGAATCCCATTGCTAGCAATATATCTAACCAGGTCGACTTCTTAGCGGTTTCACCTGGAAACTATCATGATTAGTTCCTGATGAATTCATCATGATGCGCTAACTGGCCTGTTTTCATCGTCATCGATCACCCTTCACTGGTGCCCCGCCAGCGTATCCCATTAGCGCAGGCGGGGTTACCACTCCATTTTCATCCAATAAAAAAAAAACTATAAATAATTAAACATTATTGACCAAAAAAATATAAAGTTGTTAACTTAGGTGACAGTACATTTTGGTCCAAGCATACTGCCTTGTGGGACACCACAGTGACATGAGTTTTCTAACATTTTCGAATCGACATCGCTAGCGAGTCCGTGAATTAGAATGAGTCACCCGGAGTTGCTATCTCAAATTAATGGCAAGTAGTACTATTTAAGTATTTTAATATTCAACCATTTGAATCAGAAACCACTATAATGTATAAACCATTAGAAGCTATATCCTCTGTTATATCCCCTCCGTTATGTTTCGTAACAGTCCAAAAACTATCTAAATCATCACCTTCGTTGACCGCAAGACTAGTGCGTGATGGATTGTCTACACCACATGTCTGTCCAGCAGACAACGGCTCAATTACCGCCCCATCTATATCTTGCAGGTCATTATCACATGCATTGTCTTTCGGGCCATTTTCTTGAACTGTTTGCGTATTGGTATTATTCCCATCGTTACTTTTATCCCCTATACTTTCTTCATCTAAAAAAACTCCAGTTTCCTTATCAGAAGATTTGATTTTCAGCTTCTTCGGTCGAGGAAATGTTGTGCCAACAATTTTGGATTCGCTTATCTCTTTATGTGATCCATTAGGTACTATTGTTTTCCGTTTCACATTTTTAAGTTCTCCATTTTTCATTTGTGGTTCATTTACACTTATCGATATCACTCTGCCGGAATCTTCAACGTCTTCCATCATAATCTTTCTTTTCCTATCAGTCAGAGCATTTTGCAATTGGACATTCTTTTTTGTTAACCTTTCCACTTGCTCTCTTAAGAGTCTGATCTCCTGATCTTTCTCCCTCATCATCATTCGACACATCTTGAGTAACACGTCGAATCTCCGTTTTGTTGGATTGGACGGATCTGTTATGTCGTCTACCACCTGAAAAATATAATTGATTGTAATGACAACGTCACAGGTAGTGTCGAAAATTTCGTAAAGAGGGCGAGAGGGAATGGATTAATAGTAATGGTATTCAAAAACTGCATTTCTAGTTCATTTTAAAATTTCGCGTTGTTTATACATAATTTAAATACTCAATCGGGACTTTTAAAAGACTACCGACTAAAACCGTCTTTACAAAAAAACGTTCACGCTCACTTTTTATCTTTATCCGAGCAGTAAGTGCTTTGTATTATTCCCAAATTCGTGTATAATATAGGATATGTCATATATGTGTAAGTATATTTGTTATTTATATATATTTATTCGTTTTTTTAGTATGTATGTATGTATGTATATCAATAATTACTAGTACCGCATTCGAGTATTCTGACACTTCCCTACGGTTGACTGGGAGAGAATGCTTTTAGCATTAAGTCCGCCATGTACACATATATGTACTAAATAAAAATAAAAAATCGGGCGTTTCTGTCGTGACCACGACGTGGTGCAATCCACGTCGAGACCTCGGCAGAAGAAGCAGGTATGTAGGTACTATTTACCTGTAAAGACTTTTACATTGCGTCAAGTCACGATTGTGTATTTAAAATATGCATCTCTAGTATTTATATAGGTTTTATATAGGTGTAAATAGAAGGGTATCCCCGCGTCCGCTAGCCCCGTACTAGTGAGAGATAATAGGTGATGAAAAGGCATGTCAGTTAGCCCATTGTGACGAATCCCAAAAGAAATAACCATGGTGATTATGAGGTCGACTGACAGAGAACGACATATAGTGTTAAGTTTGTCATTAACTCTTTCTAGGTTTAAATTTAATGTACAAATAAATAATGTCTAGGAAGAATTGTGTAGAGATCGACGTGACAAGAGTATATTTCGAATAATACGGCTATTATTATTGAGAGACTAGATTTTTCAGTCAGAAAAACCTGTGACACTGCGACCTTTCAATGATCTTTTTTGGTCGCCCTTTTTAAAGTCCGCTGCTAATTCCTATCAGCGATAGGAATTTTAAGATGTTCTTTGCAGCGACGTTTTTACCTCCTCGGGATACAGAGTGTGTTTTCCAAAGAAGATATATCGTGTATGAACGAGTGGGCTACAGCGACACATTCAGTGCTGCGGCGTTTCTACCAAACAAACAGCCTAAATGGTCGCGTACAACGCGGTTTCAGAGATGCTTTCTGCCACGAACACTCAGGTTATGGAATGAGCTCCCTGCCGAGGTTTTCCCAAGAGACTACAGCATGGGGTTCTTCGAAAGGGTGGTAAAGAGGTTTCTTCAGGGTCGGCAACGCGCGCGTAATGCCTCTGGTATTGCAGGCGTTCATAGGCTACGGTAACCGCTTACTATCAGGTGGGCCGTATGCTTGTTTGCCACTTCAGTGGTATAAAAAAAAACACTTTTTGGGCATAAGCCTAGCTCGGTCATATGCTTGTTTAGTTTGATCACATTGCTAACAATTCTTTTCCCCAGCAATATGGGGTATACTGCTATTATCAGGTGGATCTCGAAGTGGTTCCGGAAACCATTATGGTTAATTCTTGTGATCTTATCATTCCTCACTGGTGCTCCGCTAGCATATTCCCATAGAGCAGACGGGGTAACCGTTCCAATGATACCTACTAAGAAAGATGCTCTCTAATGAGGGTGTACTAATGTACACTGAAGCCAATCTTACCAGCGTTCCCATCACGTCAGCATATTGTTCAGCTTATCTAGAAGGTTTAATACTGGGTCCACTCACAGGCTGTGGAATGACAAAATTAAATTAAATATGGTTGAAATGTACAAAACACATAGAAAAATGAGCAGATAAATTGCCAATATTTATATATTTGAGTAATATATAAACACATAAATATTGGCAAATTAGAAATTTGGTACATAAATGAAATGAAATGAAATGAATTTATTTTGCTTGTGTAGGTAGTTTTCGATGAAAGAGGTTTACATTACATACTACAATTAATAATTAAGTACATTCAACTGTGTATTCTTACCCGATTAACGGATGAGACTCTTATAATGGTTATAAAATATTGAATTTAAAAAGATGAAGCGTACTCACGAATGAAATGTGATATTTTGAGAGTTTTCTTCATTGTTTGAAATAGTGCAGCCGGGTACCGCGCATCGTCTCACCATATTAATATCGTCCAATTAAATCAAATTACGTTCTATTTAAAAACAAGAGTTAATAAATAAATTATTTATGTATGAAAATTTTGATAAATATGCGTAACTTTAACGTAGCTAAGACAAATATTAATAAATTACAAAATATATAATTTTTATTTTTTTTTTTTTTTTTAGTACGTTTGTTCCGTTTGGAACAGGCTAAGGTCGGAGACCATGCTGCCTAGTCTTCAAAAAGATAAATTGTCTGGAATCAATAATTGATTGTCAATATGTCAGTCAAAATATAGACATTTTTAAGCCGTTTTTGGGGTGGTCTCCTAAGAATAAGGTTTCCTCTCATAAATTTAGTGTTATCACAAATTAAGTTTTTCTCTAAACCTAACTTTTTATTTTTATAATTTCTCGAAATTATTGTTTTATGGATTATAATGAACAAAAATAATATTATTTTGTAGTCAAGTCTATGAGAAAATTGGTTTATACTTGTCCTTATATTAAAGATTCGATAGAGATATCAAATTGTCATTTTTAGAATAGCGCCTCGAAGTATATGTCATACTTAATCTATGGTCGGTGTATTTTATTTAATGGATGATAACCTTCTCCCTTTTCGCGTGAATAGGAGGGGAGGGGGGAGCTTATGTCTTTAGTATAGGCGGTTTTTATTTTATTTTTTCGTGATAATGGAATAGTAACCGGCCTGCACTTACGGTATACATTTGCTATACACCAGTGGGGAATGATAGATGAAAATGCAGTGCAGAATCTTGTGATCTCTATTGTTAGTAAGAGGTCACAGGATATCACCCTGAGAGGGTATCAGGTCAACCTCCGCGTAGTCCCCCCCTGAAAACTATACTTGGTATATATTCATCGCGTTAAGCTAACTGACCGGCCTTTTCATTCTCATCTATCATCGTTCACTGGTGCCCCACCAACGTATACCGTTAGCGCAAGCGGGGTTTCTATTCCATTTCCATCAATTAAAAAACTCCAGGATCTGTATGAAAGGCCTTCTTAGTATGTAAATTATTAGTCCCACCGCTAACGATATACTGTCCTTGGTACTCCTCATTCGTCCCCGAAATTTCGTAAAATATTTGATTTGGCCCTTTGATGTTCCCATACCTAAAATTTAGGCCGTGACATGTAGTTGACCTTCGTTTTCTTCAAGAATGGCAACGCATGGGGGGTATCATGGCCGAAACAGTATACTCAGTTATTTCCATATTACTGCTCATGTCTATAGGCGACGGTTACCACTTTCCATCAGGTGGGCCGTCAGCTTGTTGGCACTTAAGTTCCATAAAAAAAATTCAAAAATATTGGATCATATGAGCTTTATATTTTATTAGATAATTATTTTTAAACATTAAATATACATATTAAGTGTTAAATTCTAAATAAAATTACTTCATGATGTCATTATTTAAAAGTGCTAGTTACATCCTTTCTACCCTGAAGTAAGGGTATGGCATTCCTTTTTTTCCATATGTCTCTTTAAATAACCCTTCATACTAAAACGCTTCATACAAACATCACAACTGTACGGCTTATCTATTACATGTGTTCGCATATGTATTTTCAAATACCCACTTCTACTAAAACATTTCTTACAGATCTCACAATTGTATGGCATTTCCCCTGTATGGGTTTTCATATGCAATTTCAAATGTCCATTTTTAACAAAACATTTGTTACAGACATCACAATTGTATGACTTCTCCCCTGTATGTATTCGCAGTTTATGTTTTTTCAAATCTCTACTCATACAAAAACATTTGTTGCACACATCACAACTGTATGGCTTTTCACCTGTATGTGTTTGCATATGTCTTTTCAAATCCCCACTTGTTCTATAGCATTTCTCACAGAGATTACAAATGTACGGCTTTTCACCTGTATGTATTCGCATATGCTTTTTCAAATCACCACTTGCAATAAAACATTTCTTACACACCTCACAAGAATATGGCTTCTCACCTGTATGCGATTGTATATGTCTTTTTAAAGGTGCACTTTTACTAAAACATTTGTTACATATGTCACAAATGTATGGCTTTTCACCTGTATGCATTCGCGTATGTTTCTTCAAATCACCACTTGCACTAAAACATTTCTTACAGATATCGCAGCTAAATGGCTTTTCTCCTGTATGTATTTGCATATGCGTTTTCAAATACCCACTTGTACTAAAACATTTTTTACACACGTCACAACAGTGTGGCTTTTCTCCTGTATGTGTTAACATATGTAATTTGAAAATTCCACTTGTATTAAAACATTTGTTACACACATCACAACTGTATGGCTTTTCACCAGTATGTATTCGCATGTGTATTTTCAAACTCCCGCTTGTTCTAAAACATTTGTTGCATACATCACAACTATAAGGTTTTTCACCTGTATGTGTTTGTATATGTATTTTCAAATTACCACTTTTACTAAAACATTTCTTACACACCTCACAGCTGTATGGCTTTTCTCCTGTATGTGTTCGCATATGTATTTTCAAATTACCACTTTTAGTAAAATATTTGTTACAAATGTCACAATTATATGGCTTTTCACCTGTATGGGTTCGTATATGTTTTTTCAAATCTCCACTTGCACTAAAACATTTATCACACATATCACAACTAAAAGGTTTCTCGCCTGTATGTGTTTGCATGTGTAATTTCAAACATGCACTTGTACTAAAATCTTTCTTGCATGCGTCACAACTGTACAATTTCTCTTTTGTATGTGTTTGCATGTGTAATTTTAAACAACTACTTATACTAAAACTCTTCTCACACACATTACAACTGTATGGCTTCTCTCCCGTATGTGTTCGTATATGTATTTTCAAATTTCCACTCGTAGTAAAACATTTGTTACATACATCGCAACAATATGGTTTCTCCCCAGTATGTGTTCGCATATGTAATTTCAAAGTACCACTTTTAATGAAACACTTTTTACACACATCACAACTGTATGGCTTCTCCCCTGTATGTGTACGCATATGTATTTTCAAATTTCTACTATTACTTAAACATTTCTTACACACGTCACATGTGTATGGTTTTTCTCCTGTATGTGTTCGCATATGTACCTTCAAATGGCTTAATGTACGAAAACATTTTTTACATGTATCACAATTATAAGGCTTCTCTTCTGTATGTGTACGCATATGTGATTTCAAACCTGCACTTTCACTAAAACACTTAGTACACAATTTACAACTGTATGGCTTATCACTATTACAACTATGTGAGTCTTCTTTCAAGTGTAACTCAGATGTTGAAATATTTTTATGTTCATTAATACTTGATTTCTGGTCAGGATGTAATAAAGTGTGGCGTTCTAGTGTACCAGTTATCACTGTACACTCTTGGTGCTCATATTTTTGGATATCACATTTACTAAAAACATTTTCACAATTGGCTTTTGAATGTGAATTATTATCAGTTCCTGACGGTGTCTCTGCTTGTATACTTATTGGTTCTATAATTATTTCACTCTTTACTTTATGATCCTCATGAGGTTTTATAAAATTACCATTTTCTTCTATTGACTCCTCGGTTACGTTAACATTCTCCGACTTTACAACTGCAGCTCCATCTACATCGTATTGAACATCAAGTTCGACCATCTCTTGTTTAATGGTACAAGAGAAGTATGCACCATTTTCTTGTACGTCTACCTCAATGTTCGAGTGTGTGTCACAAGGCTCCTGCTTAATATGTGTGGTGGTCACATGAAGATGGTCAGTCTCCTGTTCTTGTTTTACAGTTTCAGAATACATCTCAGCAGTTCAACTGTCTTTATGAATAAATATAGCCAATGATTTATCTTTACTTGTGTTTTATTTCTACATAAGTAGACAAAGGTTTTTTTTTGCTTTGGAGTAATTTGCCAGTGCTAAGTTTTGGATGTCTTTTTGTTTTGATATTAAAATTCAAATAATTTACGATAAAAATATTTAACTATATTTCTATGATAAGTAATTTAGAAAAAGAAAAATAAATAATGTGGTCACAGACTAACTAAGAATTAGAGACAATGTATTGACCCAGTTACTCCTACAGATCCGATAGACTTCGAAAGAGTAAAATCACAATTGTCATATAATTAAAGTTATAGATTAAGAAAACACGGTTTTAATAAATTTAACACGCAATGACAATAATGAACAATAGAATAATACTAATGATGGTAGCTCCATTATAAGTATAACACGAAAATATAAGCAAGATGGGAAATATTTTTTCTTTTGCTCTGCATACGATTTTATTTTTTAAACGCACATAGATCAAGTATATTGAACATTAATGAGGCAAGCCTTATTTGCTCATCCAAAAATAGAGATTACTTTTTCTGTGTATCTAAAGTAAAGAAATAGCTTGAGTAGTTATTATGCACGAATGAATGTTTGATTTTAATTTATTTATATTGATTCAAATTTATGTATTACATTACAGTAATTAAAAGTGTAGTGAATTTTTGAACTAATTATTGTAATTTAGTTTATGGCGGTTGAAATCATTTACACGAAAACCTAATACTTAATTTCAATTATACAGAGTGTCCCGTAAGTCATCGATCAAACGGACTCTGGCGATAGTTGGCAGCTCATCCTCTTTTTTTATTTTTTCAATAAAATTTCAAAATTACTTCCACTAACTCTAATACATAATCGACAACGTCGTATAAAATTCCTACGTAAAAAATTTAGATCCCGTTGATTGTTTCGAACTCCATCTGCTACAGTACATAATTTCTGAGAAAACTCCAACTCAATTCTATTTTCTTTGTCGTACATAGCTTTTTAAAAATATCTCTAACAAAAATAGTCGATCGAATGAAGATCAGCAATGCTATTCACTAAAAATCTACCGCAACGCTGCGCCCGCCGACGAGCTCTAGGCTGATCAGCCTTGCGAACGACCGTGGCTACAGCGCTGCGGTAATTGGTATTCACTAACGTGTCAAACCTCATCGACGAACTGTAGGCTGTGATAACTCGAGGCTGTGCGCACGGACGAGATAGGGCTTGCAACAAAAACCGTAAAATGAAACCGATAACTGTAGAAATATAATATTTTATTGACAAATGGAATGTTTTATTCAGTTTAGAATGTTATTTAAATAAATATTATATAAAATAAACATAAATTTATACATCAAACATTTGATTTTGTTTTTTAAAGTTAAGATTTGTTTGAATACCCTTGCTTCCATTGCCGTAAAATAAACAAATAACACTTATACGTAGGTACGTAGAGAGTATTATATTCCTTGTACTTAACATTCCAGAGGCGCACTTTTTGTATTTGTTTATTCTCTTTTAAAAATAATTAATAAAATTAACGTAACTTTACCAACTTTTTATAAGTTTGGATGTATCTATCAAATACGTAAGTAAAATGTGCTTTTTATTTACTTGTATTGTTTTTAAGGTTATATTTTTAGTAACTAAAATAAATGCATATCTCGTAATATGCCATGAAATGAGGTCCCTTCGCAAAGTAGTCGGAGATGCTGATGGATTATATAAAGAATCAGACATGGCTTGTGACAGGACATACACGAACAGAAAAAAGGATTAATTATATTTTTGTGGAGTATCTTAAATAAATAACTAATTTATAATTTTAGAATTATGTGTCTAATTGGTCTTATTGTTATTTTTAGGTCCACGCCGTCATTTGACTGACAGTATCCCGATGACACTTATCTCCTTCACAATAGCAGCCTCAACTAGAAAGAGAGTAGTCTCACAAAGATTTGTTGCCACTGAAGAGCACCGAGTAGAGACAGAACAAATTTTGATAGAGAATCAGACAACACTAGTTCATATCTTATAGCTAATGAATGAGATATGACTAAATTAAAGTCAGCCATTGTACGATTTAATTAAAAATTTTTTAAAAAAATGTCAAATAATTTTTATTCAATTAAATTTAAAATATTATAAATGGTAATTCTTTATGATTCTACCATCCATTGTGAAGAAGGGGAGAAACTGGAAACTCAATTTTGGTTTTTAAAATACTAATAGATTTTACAATAATACATTTCTAAAAATATACACTGCCAAACATAACAAGAGTTATTGGAATTATTAGTTAAATCAAGTTCATTATTGAAAATATAAGATTAAATTATGTCATTTAATAGTCATTAGTAATTTTGAAATATAAGTTTCATCTTATATAATTTTCAAATAAAAACACAATTACAATAAAATTTTATAATTATAAACTTGTTTCAATTTCAAATAAATAATTTGTAATGAATATTTTTTTTAATTTCTTACTCCATACTAGTTATAATATGAATTAATTATAATAATTTTAAATTAAAATATACATTTACAACATAATATAATATTAATTTTAATTCACAGGTAGACAAAAATGTAACAATAAAAAAGTATTTGAAAATAGTTTTAAGATATAAGTACAAAAAGTATAGCTAGCTTATTTTCAGACTACAAAATTTTCTTTTGTGCTTCTTCATTTTGTATAGATGATGTAACTGCATCATATTATCAGCATATCACAAACAATACAGCAATACACTACTATTATTGTGGCTGTCCAAGGGTTTGTGTCATGCTACTAAATGAGTTTCAAAATCACCTGAAAAAAAACAAGTAATGTTAATTATTTTTAATTAGCCACATAGCCAATCCTGAATTTATGTGTGTCATGTTTTTTAAAACTATGATTTTGAAACAATTTTTTATAATAGTTTCAACCTGAATGCTAAATTTAGTGGTCTAATTTAACAAAAATTAATTGACATGAATTAATAATTTACTACATGTTTAACTAAGTTGGTTTCTTTCTAACATATTAGACATAGTTATTTTTATACAAAACCAGAGGCCACTAAGCTTATGGATCACCTAATGGGAAACGGTTACCATGATCCATGAATATTTGTAACACCAGAAGTATTATTATGCATACTAGAATACTTGTTACACACCATTATTAACTAGCTAGTTGTTCCCTACACAAACATCTGCTGACACAATTAAGCTTGTCTCAATAAAATAAACAAGTGCACACAATCACTGCAAAGTATTCTTTTTCCTGCTTTAAATTTATTTATGTACCTAATACCATCAATTAATAAAATTTAAGTTACAAACCTTTAGCTTTAACAACTCTCTGGAACAGGCATACATGGTGACAATTCTTTTTCTAACATATTGATTAATTCTTCAGAAAGTCGGTAATGATGAATATAATCCACATCACATAAAGTTGTTGATTGTCGGCATTTCTTACAATCATTTTCTATTTTAGCTTCTTTCAACAAATGGGTCATTACACATAAACGGGCAGCAATCGTTTTTAAACACAAATTGATAATTTCAATACAATTAATAATCACAGAATTCAAGAAACAAATAAATATATTAGATGAATACTATGCAAACAGCGTAGAAAACAAAGCTTTTGAGTTTGACATAAGAAATCGAGGCTGTAGGCTAGGCTGTCGGCGAAGGCGAGGCTGATTTTTGTTAGTGAATACCAAATACTATGGCAAAATGTCAAATCGCACAGCCTTGAGTAGTTCCCGTTTATGCCGCTCGTCTTTGAGCTCGTCTTTGGGCGCTAGTGTCGCGTCTTAAGAATTAGTGAATACCATTTCAATATTTCATCGCTGCGTCAAGGCTGATGTCTAGGCTGTTTGCTTAGAGAATAGCACTACAGGTGTACGAGGAGCCATGCCACTATACCTCTCCTATTAATCCATCGATTTGGAAACACTTTATTTAAATGTCGCATCATAACATCAATACGTAGTCTCATTATAACGAGAAAAATGACAAAGAGATTCATTATGCTGCAGCCATATCGCATTTTGCAATTTTTTTCAAGCATATCTACAGTTTCGGTCTAGTTGGCGTTGGCAATACTACAAACTGGTTGCATAGAAATTTACAAACCGTTTTATGTTCAAAATGACGTTTACTTATTTAAATGTTTGTTTTTATTTGACAATTAGATTTTTCAATATCAATAGAATTAATTCCAGACAAATTATCTTTTTGAAGACTAGGCAGCATGGTCTCCGACCTTAGCCTGTTCCAAACGGAACAAACGTACTAAAAAAAAAAAAAAAAATCAATAGAATTATTCATTAAATAATTTAAATTTATTTTACTGTTTACGCTATTAACAAACAACTTTTTTTGTCCACATCCTTACACTACAATCATACTGAAGAGGAATGTTCTAACTATCGCATATTGTTAATCGTGAACTATTCCAATATGTATTCTATAAAAAACCGGAGTCAATCCGAAGATCAAATTGATAGAACCACCGCACATATTAAGAGCGAGTTTGATTCGAATTCAGTTGTAAATAATATACAGGAAACTAATAATTTACATGTTTCTGATATTAAATTAGAAATCGAGACGTCTCCATGCAAAATAGAAGGGCATACTTTACAGGAGCGAATTTCAGAAGAATTCCAATATGATTTGGATGGAATTGTAAAAACGGAATATGATGTTGCCAATATATCTTCAGACATTAACCATATATTTTTTGATAAGGAAAATAATTACATGGACCTTTATGAGATAGATGTAGTAAAAGAGGAATTGGTTGATGAACCTACTGTTGTAAACACACAGCTGTCGGGTACTGAACGCCAGTTACTTAAAAAGACGAAGTCTGAAAATGTTTTATCTAATGGGAGTAATATTTACAATACTACAGGCGAGAAAGTTGAGTCAGATAAATTACACTCGTCTGATATGTGCCAAGATGTTTTCAGTTCCCATAATAGTTTAGAAGGTCATATGGAAGTTCATATTGGCCATAGACAATGTCCCAAAGATTATTTACATGTTCATGCTAGAGAAAAGCCAGGTTACTATATCTGTGATGTTTGTAGGAAACGTTTCAAAAGTAAATCAGCATTGATACTTCACATTAACGTTTTACACATTGGTGAAAAGACGTACCACTGTGAAGTGTGTAAAAACTCTTTTTCTAGAAAATCCCAATTGGTAACCCATATGTATACACATACTGGTGAGGTTCCATATAGTTGTAGTGTTTGTGAAAAATGTTTTAGAACGAAGCCAGGCTGGAAACAGCATATGGCGAGTCACACTGGTGAAAAACCATATGGTTGTGAAGTATGTAAAAAATATTTTAAGACAAAACAAGATTTGGAACAACATTTGGAAATCCACAATGCTGGCTCACCGTATACATGTAAAGTCTGTAAAAAACGTTTCAAAACAAAGAACAGTTTGAAGCAGCACTCGATATGTCACACCGATAACAGGTTACATGGCTGTGATGTGTGTAAAAAATATTTTGGAAGGAAACATGAATTAAGACGCCATCTGTTCATACACACCGGTGAAAAGCCGTACAGCTGTGATGTGTGTAAGAAAAGTTTTTATCGAAATACACATTTGAGAAGACACATGTATATACATACCGACGAGAAACCGCACCATTGTGATGTGTGTAAAAAATATTTTGCTACGAAGCATGACATGAAATTACACTCATACGGTCACACCGGTGAAAGGCCATACAAATGCGACGTGTGTAAAAAGTCTTTTCTGACAAGTACGCATATGAAGAAACACAAGTGTATGTTTACTGGAAAGTCATACATTTGTGAAGTGTGTAAAGAATCTTTTTTAACAAGTAAAGAAATGAAAAAACACACGCACACACACATAGAGAAGTCATACAGTTGTGGTGTGTGTAAAAAAGGTTTTGACACAAGTTTGCGTTTGGAAAAACACATATGTATCAATACAGGCGGATGGCGTATTGACTGGTGGAGGACATGATAGTCTAGAAGTATTCAGGGATGGGGATATGGAAACTGGCTGGAAATTAGAAAAAAAAACTTTTTCTTATATCTGTAATAATAAAAGGGATTCTTCTGTTTAATTTTGAATTTGGTACTTAAGAGAACTACGATTTTCAAGCTTTTCTTTATTGGATGATAATGGAATGGTAGCCCCGCCTGTGCTATCGGTATTCGCTGGCGCAGACTGGACACCAATAAGAAATGTTGCATTTTTTTATATCACTGAGGGGGCAAACAAGCTGACGGCACACCTGATGGACAGTGGTAACCGTTGCCTACATATTCTGTAATTTCACCGTCGTACCATTTTTTATCCATCTTAGAATGGCAAACAAGCTGACGGTCCACCTGATGGAAAGTTGTAACCGTCGCCTATAGACATGAGCAGTACCGTGGACGTAACAGAGTATACTATTTCGCCCATGACACTCCCACTCCATGCGTTGCTATTCCTAAGGGCTCGGGTGTTATTCCTTTGTACCCTGTAAATTCACGCCATATCACACCCTTTGAACTGAAACACAACTATTTCATTGTAGAAACACGAATCGGACAGAGGTTGGGCACCTCGGACAAACGACTTTTATAGAGTCTCTCTCTGGTAAATTAATCCGAATGACAGCTGAATATTAGCTGAAAATTAAATTTGACACAGTGTTTGATTTTCGATTAAAACTCACGACCTATTGCGGTCCATAACTCGAAGCAGATTACAACTGGGCCACGACGCTCTTAAAGAAAATAAAAAAAAAACATTTAAAATATAAAATAGATTTATTATTGTAAATACAATATTTTCTTAATAAATAAAAATTACAAAGCTTTACGTATAATCACATACTAGATCGCGCAACGTCGCGCCGATCCGTGCGGTAAATAATTTAGCGCCAAATTGGATATATCTCTACCTATACCTAGTACGGTATTATATAATCTGTGCCTATACTAATGATATAAAGAGGTAAGACTTGATTGTTTATAAATCGATCGATTTATAAATAATCAAGTCTTTTTATAGTTTATAAAAAATCGATTTAATAGATTTTTTTATAAACTACTCAACGGATTTTAAAAATTCTTTCACTTAAAGAAAGCATTTAGATTATCAACAAGTAACATCTTATATTTTAGATATATATAAAAAAAAATAAATATCTGTTATGAAATTTCAATGTAACAAAAGGTATCAAAACTTTGCCTCTTATTAAAGCCGTATAAAATACTAATTTATCTTTCAATCTACCCGTGCGAAGCCGGGGCAGATTGCTAGTATAGAAAGTTTTCGCCCGCGTCTGTCTGTTGCACGTCGCAATCTTTTATTTGGAAAGGGGGGGGGGGGGGTATGTTAGCAATATACCCTGTTTTTTTGTATGGGTGAAAGTGGTATGGTAACCTTGCCTGCGCTAACAGGATACGCTGCCGGAGCACCAGTGAAGGGTGATAGATAAGAATGAAAACAGGCCAGTTAGCCCATCATGATGAATTCATCAGGAATTAACAATGATAGTTTCCAGAAGAACCGCGAGGAGGTCGACCTGGCTGGCAATGGGATTCTCAGTCTCCATTACTAACAATCCCTTTCCCCCCTAATATATCCTGTTAAGTCGACCTCTATGGCGTAAATTTACAGGGTACAGAGGAATAACATCTGAGTCCTCAGGAATGGCAATGCAGGGGGGGTATCATGAGCGAAACAGTATACTCTGTTATATCCATGGTACTGTTTATGTCTATAGGCGACGGTTACCACTTTCCATCAGGTGGGCCGTCAGCTTGTTTGCCATTCTGTTGTATAAAAAAAAAGTTCCTTTTAGAAACAATCTTGGTTGCTTCTTGGTGAATTGATCACTATGGGCTAACTGACCTGCTTCATCCTCACCTGTCATCCTTCACTGGTGCCCGATACTCCGCCGGTGTATACCGATAGCGCGGGTGGGGTTACCATACCATTATCAAGTATTAAAAAAAGTTCTAAATCTGTAAATTTATTTTGTAAACATTCTGAATTATTAATTTTTTTATTTATTTATATTACATTACATAATAGTCTAATATCTAATATAATAAAATAAAGTACTAAATAACATAAAGTCATTAAAAAATTTGTTCGAATTGGTAAAGCAAATACCATAAAAAAAAACAATACGCTTCACAGTCCGGTTCAACAGAAATAAAAAAAAAGTACGAAATTTAGTTGAAATCAATACTAAGACACACTCCGAGTGAAATTTGTAACTAATCGAATCGCTGAATCGATTATTCGATTTCTCATTTGTATTGAACATCAGCAGATTTATAATCGAATTAATTTACAAATTCGTTTACATTTTTAACAGACTTCAAAAACAAGGAGGGTCTCTATTCGGCGTGAATTTACTGGGTACAGAGTAATAACACCCGACTCCTCAGGAATGGCAACGCATGGGGGGTATCATGGGTGAAACAGTTATGTCCATAGTACTGCTCATGTCTATAGGCGACGGTTACCACTTTCCATCAGGTGGGCCGTCAGCTTGTTTGCCACTCTAAGTTGTATAAATAAAAAATATATTTTAAATTATTACAACAATATATGGATATTACAATTTATAGATTTCGAAGAGATACAGATGTTATCCGTAACTATACATGTTCATACATATTCCGTCCATTTCAACAAATTACTGTAATGTAAGGTGTAATACCTTACATTATATAGATAGAGTATCTCAACAAATGTTTCGAGAAAAACGGCTCAAATTTTTCATACAATTTTGCGTGGCAAACAGTTATGAGTGATTTATTTATTTATTTATTACATCCACTGGGTGAGCCTTACAGTCTTCCAATACGCTCACCTAGGAAAGCACGAGTACAATAACATATAAAACAGGAATATTACATAAAAATAACAAAAATAATAATATAAAAAGATTTAACTCGAACAAAAAACGTGTGAACACAAATACTCTGTGGTCACCCGACGAAACTCCAGCAAGTTGGAGGCAAACATACCCAATTGCGGATACTGGCCTCAAAATATCATTGAGTAGTTTCAATGCAAGAGATAGGGGAGCCTGCTTAGCGAACTCTGTTCTTCGTAATGGAACATCGAGTAAGTGCCGTCGACGTGCTCCTATTTATATTGATTCCGGTACAGTTTGGTTACACTCTTTTATAACTTTTATATTTATTTTGTCTTATAATTTCTGCATCTTTTTAATGTGTAAACAATAATTTTATTTATTAAACAATACGTCAAGATACATTGTATGCGTAAGTATATAGAACACTGATAAAAAAACGAGTCAGCTAATTTGACAATTAGCTGACGAAAAGTTGACCCGTTTTTGAGGCTCGATGCTTACCAATCTATATATTCTAAGCATTACAATGACGTGAATTAATGAACTAGTATATTCACGCGGGCGGACTATCAAAAGTGAACGCTATTACGATTTGTGTACAGTGGGTATTTTAGTTCACTGTTGCTAGATGCCCCTAATACGCACTACATTTCAAGAGAATAACAAAACAATAATAAAGATTTAACAATAATTTGGCAAAATTAATTGCAAATGTTAATAATATAAATAGTATACAGAGTGAGACCGAAAACGTTATCAAATTCATCTTTTATTCAATTTTTATTTAAGACTTACTTACAAGCACTTTTAAATTATATTTTTTTAAATTTCCTGCAGCGTTTGGAAGATCTTTATCTGTTGAGAAGAGTCCGCAACAAACTCGACAGTTACTCTTTCAAATCTCTGTTAACATTATGTGTATTTATTTAAATGTACTACGTCTAAAATTGCATGGTCGTTAAAAGGTCCTGCATGATCGACTAACACCATGGAATTTTTAATGACTATGTCATTTTATTATATATATATATATATATATATATATATATATATATATATATATATATATATATATATACATAACGAAAATCTTAGACATAAGTACTTGATCTACTTATTATTCAGATATTGTTATTGTCATTGTTAATAATTATTAAATATTATAATAGTGCATGTGGTGTTCGCCTGTAAAAGATTTTTACATTAAATAGCATATAAAATGTAAACATTGTATATATATATATATATATATATATATATATATATATATTAAATATACTATATCTAAAATGACATAGTCATTAAAAAAACCCAATATAACTTGTTGAATAACAAACTTTTAACATATCGTCACCTCTATGGCAAATTTACGAATCTGCAGTTTTTTCAAATTTGACATTTCTTTAAAAATCTACATTTTGCGCCATACTACTTATTGTGGCTTATTTTCAAATTTCTATCTCTAACGGTTGAAGAAATCGAGTAGCTCGAATCTCCATATTTTTGTGATACACCCAAAGTAAACTTACTTAGCATATTTTTATAGTATTTTCTATAATGAACACTTTAATTTGAAAATTCCAATAATTATTTTATCAACTCTTCAATCCTAATTTAGTTATTTTACATGAATGATTGCTATAACGTTGTTATTTAAACTGAAGTTCTCTCCAAAACACGTGATTTATACCTCGGTATATTTACGAAAGCGGCACTTTCGTTAGTTTGCCAGATATTAAAATAAATTCTTTTCTTTGGCAACTTGCGAAACTGCCACTTTCGTAGATTTGCTGTTGTATAACTCAATACCTAGGAACTCTCATGTATGAAGGTGCAAAGTAACGATTATGCATTTATTTCTGATACTTGTAATATAGTAATAATTAATTAAGCGCATTCAATAAAAAACAGGATTTTAAAACTAAAATGTTAGCATGATCGTTTACAGTAGTCTTCTGTCAAAAGTTATTTGCATTCTAATGTTTCAAAACGTTCCCCTGTAAAATGTATCTTTTTCAGTTTCGTAAGTTTGCCATAAAGGTGACGATATACCCACGCCTAATACCAGCAACTATTTCCGTATCACCCTGTATATTGCTAGTACGTTCACTAGCGTACTAACAGCGTTAAACTACAAAGGACTAGCTCAATTCTAAGCTATATAAATTGTAAACATTTATATATAAAATATATGACTAAAAATTCAAAACAATTCTTGGCCATATGAGAACACGATATTTGAAAAGTCTTTCTGTTTATAAATACTAATAATATATTTTATTGCATTGACAATAAGGTTTATTTTCCTACGATTGGATATGTATGGTAACAATGGCGGCGTTTCTGAGACGTCAATTCTCTACACTTATGTATTAATATTATAATTTGAACTAAATTTTTTATACTATAATATATGTAAACTAAATTTACAATAATTTAGACACAAAGCGAATAGAAATTTAGTTCAAATTTGATTATAGAATAAAGATTACGCGGTCAAATTAAAAATTTAAATTTAGAACAAGATAGAGCAATGGCGTCTCAAAACCGATTCGAATATTTCAAAAGTCTTTCTGTTTATAAACACTTTAATAATGTATTTTAATGTATTGCAAATAAGGTTTATTATTCTACGATTGCACTTTTTGTGATAGCAATGTGTATATTTTATGAAAAAATATATCGTATGTTTAGATTATTTCAAAATGGTCACGGTGAATGGAAAATATAAATATTTTATCCAGTTTTTTTAAAACTTGTATTGTACATTTGTTTGTTTATGTAAAATCATGCAAGCTGAATTATTATGTTTTGTTCCGATAATAATACAACACTTAATATTGTAACATTTATAAAATGGCTGCATCAACAAGATGGCGGACGGTCTATATTTTGTATAGGCTATTAATTTAAGTATAAAACAAAAGTACTTAAAGGATAGGTAATGACAAAATAAAAGAAAATCATCACTTTAAAATGGCCGCCGTAACAAGATGGCGGATTACATTTTAAAAGCTTATATCAAAAATGTTTTTAAACAGACAGACAGTGGTTGATTTAATTTAGTTCTTCATCTACGTTGACTATCATATATATAGTCGAATTTTTAATTCGATGCAGTAAACTGACCTGACTTCTGTTTTTTTTTTTTTATTTATGGCCATAAAAAATAATCAAATTAGGTAAGTTTTTTTTTTACTTGTTTTTGTTGTAATGAAATAGTAATAATTGTATATTACTTATAGAATTACAACTTAATATGTTTACGTTAGTAAAAATAGTTTATTTTTGAATTAATGAAGCCATCACTACTAAGTTTTTTTTTATACAACTTAGAATGGCAAACAAGCTGACGGCCCACCTGATGGAAAGTGGTAACCGTCGCCTATACACACGAGCAGTACCATGGACATAACAGAGTATACTGTTTCGCCCATGACACCCCCCATGCGTTGCCATTCCTGAGGACTCAGGTGTTACACCTCTGTACCCAGTAACTTCACAGCCACATCCCACCCTTCAAACCGAAACACAGCCATACAAACACAACTGCTTCACGGTAGAAACACGGATGGGACAGAGGTGGCCAAGCAATCGATTTTTGTACAAAGTCTCCCTCTGGTATTATTTTTGAAACTGACATTACCTTATGTCAGTTTATTGCATCGAATTAAAAGTCCTACAACAGGCACTTAGCGTCCAATGGCACGTATTTTACAGTCTTGCACAAACGGGGCCTTTTTTTTTATTAGCTGACAATGGATAGGTAACCCCGTCCGCGCTATCGGTATACACTGGCGGGGCACCAGTGAGAGATGATAGGCGAGGATGAAAAGGCCTCCTCATCAAGGTACTATCCCCCTTAAGTGCAGTACCAACCTCTCTAGACAAAGTACAAACGAACCTGTCGATAGAGAAGTTATCGCTACCGAGTCAGTGAGATAGAATGAATGAGTATACTTTATTTGCATTATACAATATAGGACATAAGCGAGACAATTTACAAACACAACGATACAGTTGTATAAGTACAGTAAGGCGGTCTTATTGCTGAGAGCAATCTTTTCAAGACAACCTTAAGGTAATGGACTAATTGTTGTACAAGTAGGTACGATAGTGCTGTAATGTGTTATATATATATATATATATATATATATATATATATATATATATATATATATATATATATAATGAGTCGACGACGTGCGCTGTCCTACTCTTCCTAATACGAGCGTTGACCGAAGCGTTTCTATCGATAGATACGTTCGTACCTTCTCTAGGGATGCTTGTTCACTATTATAGTTTAAAAAATCGTCACAGTCGTAGAATACTGACGGATCTTTTTATGTAATATTTGTCAGATCCGTCGGTATTCTACGACTGTGACGAAATAATCGAATAAATTCGATGGACGATACTTCAAGTATCGATTAAAAATAAAATATTATTATATATTATATACAATATAAAAAAAGGTATGAAAACCAAATGGAAATTGCGTTTAGTTTGAATCAACAAATTCGATTTTGGAACAGTAATGAAGCGAATGTGTAAGCGAGATAGAAGACACGTTTGAATTTAGAACAGTAGTTTTTGCACTGCAACGCAAAAAAGCCAGTTCCTGGAGACCATCGTGCTGAATTCGAGGTGTATTCATCGCGATGGGCTAACTGACCTGCCTTTTCATTCTCACTTATCATCCTTCACTGGTGCCCCGTTAGCGCAGGCGGGGTTACCATATTATTATCATAAAAAAAACCTTGTATCTATCACGATTTTTAAAATATCTTTTTTCCAATCTTGCTACACTTCGGTACTCTTCCATATTTGGAATACAAAATCCATTTAGTTTCACTTCACTGTAGATTAAAGCTAAAATATACATTATGTACTATTGTTACAAGTATCATATTCGCTTGTAACGCGACTAATTCTTTGGTGCTATTTCTCGTTGAGAGGTACAGTCGTGCTGCAATAGATGGCGGTAGCGTCGCGCTGGTTTTCCGGCAGGAACTTCTCGCCTTCCGGCAAAGGCGCTTGGCTGTCTTCTGTGGATTTTAGATATAGAATTACAGATTAGATAAAAAAAACTTTTTTTTTAATTTAAAATCTATGATATTTATTATAATATAAAGGAATAATAACATTTTATAGTGAAATACTATTAAACCAGAGGGAGACTTTGTACAAAAGTCGTTTGCTTGGGTACCTCTGTCCCATTCGTGTTTCAACCGTAAAGCAGTTGCGTTTACATGGCTGTGTTTCGGTTTGAAGGGTGGGATATGGCAGTGAATTTACTGGGTACAGAGGAATAACACCTGAGTCCTCAGGAATGGCAACGCATGGGGGGTATCATGGGCGAAACAGTATACTCTGTTATGTCCACGGTACTGCTCATGTCTATAGGCGACGGTTACCACTTTCCATCAGGTGGGCCGTCAGCTTGTTTGCCGTTCTAAGTTGTATAAAGAAAATGACAAAAACAGCAATGTAACTACTTGGCGGTAGTTTAAGTTTACTTGATAAAAATTATATATATATATAAATTATTATTATCATACTTACTGGTATCCGTTTGTTTGTCTGTACACCGCGTGAGTAATGCAAATAAAGCGGCGTGCGCGGCGGACGCGACGACGGCGGCGCCCCCTAGCGCCAGGAACGAGCCCCGCCCGCCCGCGCCCGCGTACAGCTGCCCGCCCACCAGCGAACCCAGCGCGAAGCCTGACAAAAATCTTTTTTCTTAATGGAAAGGTAACCCCGTCTGCGCGGGGAGGGGGAAGTATTGTCAGTAATGGGGTTTGACAGCCTCATTGCTAAGGATCGGATATGGCGTGAATTTACAGGGTACAGAGGAATAACATCTGAGTCCTAAGGAATGGCAACGCATGGGAGGTATCATGGGCGAAACAGTATACTCTGTTATGTCCGTGGTACTGCTCATGTCTATAGGCGACGGTTACCACTTTCCATCAGGTGGGCCGTCAGCTTGTTTGCCATTCTAAGTTGTATAAAAAAAAATAATCATATTAAAACATATCTCACCGACGCCGTCGTCCATGCCGGCGACGATGCCCTGCACGGTGGCCGAGTAGCCAGGGGGCGCCACCTCCGCCGCGTAGCCCACTATGGTGGAGTAGCACAGAGCGTACGTGGGACCTTGCATTATGGACTGGAACGGTGGAGAAATACCAACCATTGACACAAAAGTATAAAAAAAAAATATTTAATCCGGCACGATGGACTAATTGACCTGCCTTCTCATTCTCACCTATCATACCTCACTGGTGCCCCGCCGGTGTACTCGTATATGTAAATTTATGTAAATGTGTAAATATTACAGTGTGGTCCCAGCATAGAATGAGCCACTTTCCTTTTCTTTTCTTTCCTTTCCTTTCCCGTGGGTGTCTTTTTTTTAATGGATGATAATGGAATGGTAACCCAACCAGCGCTATCGGTATACACCGGCGAGGCACCAGTAAAGGATGATAGGTGAGGATGAAGCAGGTCAGTTAGCCCATCGAGACAAATTCAACAAGAATTGTTCACGATGGTTTCCAGAGGGAACCACGTGGAGGTCGACCTAATAAGGCACATTGCTAGCAATGGGGCTGTCAAACTCCATTACTAACAATCCCTTTCCCCCCTTCTCGTGGGTGTCGTAAGAGGCGACTAAGGGAGGGCGAAGGACAGACAGCAGTCTCCCTCTTAAAATATCTGCAAAGCCTAATTGCGGTTGCCAATCCGCCTGCCAAGCGTGACAACTATTGGATAGACCTCCCATGGGGAGAGGTTTATGGCCAGCAGTGGACAGTCGCTGATCTGCTGCGAAGAACCCGTAAGAAACTCAACAGTTACTCATATACATTAGTCAGCATTTTTTTTTACAACACAGGGGGCAAACGAGCATGCAGCTCACCTGATGGTAAGTGACTACCGCCGCCCATGATCACCCACAACACTAAAGGCATTGCAGGTGTGCTGCCGGCCTTTTAAAAAGTTTATGGCGGGTTGTACGATGGTGAAAATCAGCAGCAGGTATTAATCCGAACAATTCCTCAGAGCACTCCCCATGATAAATTCGATATAAGATGCACAGAGATGCAACATCTCTACGCAGTTTCAGTGGGTCGAGCCGGACTGTAAGCCGCATGTAAATAGTTCTTACCTCTATGTACACTAAATGCCATGGGTTCCGTATGACGGCTATAAGCGCCATCCTTACACCATAACAGAACAGCGAGAACGTCATCGTAGTGCCGTAGCCCCATCGGTTTATAATTTTACCTGTAAGAGAATTTCAAAAATTTTTTTTTTTAAATTCCTTTAGTTTTTTCTCACTTTATGGAGAGTTCAAGTAATACGTAAAGTAAATTGGGAATGAGGGGGTCTTGTAAAACGTTACGATGCGTTACAGAAGCGGGAGGGGAGTTTACAACGTTTTTTTTTTTTAATTTAAATAAAAAACGAACGAGAAACAAACATTAATAAAACAACAGAGAATAGAAGAGGCAAAATGCTGGGCCATCTTATACGATATGACGATTTTTAAAGAGCATTGTAGAGGGAAAAATAGAGAGCAAAAGAGAAAGGGGAAGACCGAGGACTAACTACATGGGACAGATAAAGGAAACACTAGGCGTCATATCGTATAGGGAGGTCAAAGACATGGCTTGAAATAGAACTGGCTGGAAGAAAGAAAAAAAAAAGAAAAAATATTTATTTCGTAATAAAATTGATACAATACTAAGATCGTTGTTGTGAGCTTCTAGTAAGTGTTATCACCTGCATCAGAAGGTCACGCTCCTCCATAACCATGCAAATACAAATCATAGTACCATAAAATTAAGACATAAACATTATCTAGTAATAAGCATATCTAAATGCACGCATGCGTGTGTGTGCGTGCATATGTGAGTGTGTGAACTAGGTGTCGTGCGTGCGTGCTCTCTGCGTTACGTGCGTGCGTGTGTGTGTGTGTGTGTTTGTGTTTGTGTATGCGTGCGTGAATGCCGGAATTAGTTGCACCGACAAGAGGAAACCTCTTAAATGAAAAGAAAAAATAAAAAAACAAGGGAATTAAAATCTCCCAGAAAAATGGTTACGGCACGTTGCATGTGGGAGGGAGTGTCAAATAATTGAAAATACTTCAACATGTCTAAAGCTCTTTTATTTTTATACAACTTAGAATGGCAAACAAGCTGACGGCCCACCTGATGGAAAGTGGTAACCGTCGCCTATAGACATGAGCAGTACCGTGGACATAACAGAGTATACTGTTTCGCCCATGATACCCTCCATGATACCATACAAAAAAAAGGTGAATCCAATTTTCAGTTTCATTTACCAAGCCATTAAAATCACGTGTGCCCACGATCAAACATTATTTGCGTGTACACGTAATACTTGCACGTCCCCTTAGGATGTATAACGTACAATAGGAGGGGGGGGGGGTTGTTAGTAATGCGGATTACCAGTCGCATTGCTAGTAATATACCCTATCAGGTCAACCTCCACGCGGTCCCGCCTGGAAACCATCGTGCTTAATTCCAGGTATATTCATCACGATGGGCTAAGTTGGATTTTTTTTTCATTCTCACCAAAAAAAAAAAAATCACCCCTCAAAAAATGGTGCCCCGCCAGCGTATACCGTTAGCGCAGGCGGGGTTACGATAAAAATTATCATGTTTAAAAAAAATAACGTACAATGTGTACGATGGCGGCACAGTATAATACTGTGCGGCCCGCAGCACATTACTGTACGATGTTGACGGTCAGCTTGTCATAGACAATACAGTAAAAAAAACTTCACATACCAGAGAAGTAGAAAAACAATAATTCGCCAATGAAACTCTGAGCTGCGATCACGACGCCCTCTATGAGCTTAATCTTCGCCATGTAACCCGTTTCCTCAGCTATTTCCTCCAGGAACCTGCAATTAATAGTATTTTTTTTTATTTAAAAATTTATTTACAATTGTTTTTTTTTATACAACTTAGAATGGCAAACAAGCTGACGGCCCACCTGATGGAAAGTGAGAACCGTCGCCTATAGACATGAGCAGTACCGTGAACATAACAGAGTATACTGTTTCGCCCATGACACCCCCCATGCGTCGCCATTCCTGAGGACTCAGGTGTTACACCCCTGTACCCAGTAACTTCACAGCCATATCCCACCCTTCAAACCGAAACACAGCCATGAAAACACAACTGCTTCACGGTTGAAACATGAATGGGACAGAGGTACCCAAGCAATTGTTATCTATAGGGTTTAACCAATCATTCGATTGACATTCAAGGGATTTTTAATGGATGATAATGGAATGGTAACCCCGCCCGCGCTATCGGTATACACCGGCGGGGCACCAGCGAAGAATGATAGGTGACAATGAAAAGGCAGGTCGGCTAACTGACCATGATGCTACTACACCAGAAATTCAGCACGATGGTTTCCAGGGGGAACCGAGAGAGGTCGATCCGATAGGGTATGTTACTGGCAATGGGAGAGAGACCTCCATCACTAAGAGATCCCTTTCCCCCTGCACGAGAGAGAGAGAGAGAGAGAGTCACCCATTAGAGAGAGAGAGAGAGTTTCTCAGAGAGAGAGAGAGAGAGAGGAGAGGAGTAGATGACTGTATGAGAGAGAGGAGAGAGAGAGAGAAAGATAGAGAGAGAGAGAGAGAAAGAGAGAGAGAAGACGAAAGAGACAAAGAGAGAGAGAGAGGAAAGAAATAAAGTGTGAAAAGAAAGAAATAATTTATTCAAAGAATCATGAGACTCGCACAGTAGCATAAACTAAACAAGAACAAAACAAAAAGAAACCCAATTGACTCACCAAAACATATAGTATATGATGAAGCTGTCGAAGGTGCCGGCGATGACTGCGAACACGATGAACAGCATCACGCGCGGTATCCTCAGCACCTCGCGCAGCGCCTTCCCCGAGTCCTCCGGGCTGGACAGCGACGGCAACTGCTCGTGGGGCATTTCATTTATTACTAACGATCCGGAAGAGGGTTTTAAAATTAAAATAAATGAAGAAAATAGTGTTTCTTTTTTAAACAACTTAGAATGGCAAACAAGCTGACGACCCACCTGATGGAAAGTGGTAACCGTCGCCTATGGACATAAGCAGTACCATGGACATAACAGAGTATACTGTTTCGCCCATGATACTTCCCATGCGTTGCCATTCCTGAGGGCTCGGGTGTTATTCCTTTGTACCCACAAATTTCTCGCCATATCCCACCCTTCAAACCGAAACACAGCCATGCAAACACAGCTGCTTCACGGTTGAAAGACGAATGGGACAGAGGTACCCAAGCAATCGACTTTTGTACAAAGTCCCCCCTTTGGTGATGTACTCACGTTAAGCGCTCTACAGCTGAACAGATCTACGATGGTGGCCAGTATGGCGATGATGAAGGCGGGCGTGAAGTTCTTGATGTCGGATTCAGACACCAGGTCCACCAGCCAGCCGCCCAGCAGCGCCGTGACTCCATACCCGGCGGTACCCCAGGCTCGTTGGGCTCCGTACTTGGAGCCATGGTCCGGTCCTGTTAGCGAGGTGATCTTGGTATAGCGGTTTTTTTTTATAGATGGTAATGGAATGGTAACCCCGCCTGCGCTATCGGTATACGCTGGCGGGGCACCAGTGAGGGATGATGATAGGTGAGAATAGAAAGGCAGGTTAGTTAGCCCATCGTGATGAATACACCTGGGATTCAGCACGATCTTTTTCAGAGGGAACCACTTGGAGGTCGATCGGACGAGGTATATTGCTAGCAATGGGACTGGTAGTCTGCATTACTAACAATCCCTTCCCCCCAGTATGGCGGTTTGAGGGAGGGAGAGGATTGTTAGTAATACGGACTAGTGGGCTCGTTGCCAGTGAATCACTCAGACAAGTGGTTCTACAGGGGGGGAAAGGGATTGTTAGTAATGATGTCTCATACCTCCATTGCTAGCAATATACCCTCTCAGGTCGACTTGAACGCGGTTCCCCCTGGAAACCATCATGGTTAATTCTTGTCGAATTTACCATGGTGGGCCAACTGACCTGCATTCATTCTCACCTATCATCTTCCACTGGTGCCTCGTCGGTGTATACCGATAGCGCGGGCGGGGTTACCATTCCATTTTCACCCATAAAAAAAGCAGTTCTACACACGGTTCTTTTGTAAGCTATCGTGGTCAATTCCTGGTAAATTAATCACAAAGGGTCAATTGACCTGCTTCCATACTCACCTACCACCGCTCACTGGTGTCTTGCTTAGCGTATAGCAATAGCGTAGGTTGGGGTTACCATTCCATCACCATCATTAAAATATCCTGGGATTGAATCTGCAATACATCCTCACACGCTTGAACCTAAATGGTCACATACAGTGCGGTTTCAAAGGAGATTTCTCCTGCGAACGCTCAGGCTGTGGAATAAGCTTCCTGCCGAGGTTTTCCCTAGAGGCTATAAGGTTCTTTAAAAAAGGTATTAAGAATTCTTCAGGGTCTGCAACGTACACGTGTCACCCTCAGCGTTGCAGGCATCCATAGACTATAGTGATCGTTTAAAATACATTTAAACGGTCACTGTAGTCTATGGACGTGGTTTGTTTGACACCTTCCGTATAAAAAAGGTGAGCCATCAGCTATAAAGCCATTTTAAATTGTTAAAAAAATATATTATTTTACTGTAAATATGCTCACCTAAAACATCAAAACACACCGCATCTCCTATGCAGTTAGCTACGTTGAAAGCTACCGTCCCCACACACATAAGAACAACGAACGCCCAAAACGTCACCGTCATATAAAAATTATCATTCGTCTCGTTCGACACACTGGTTAACTTCGACACATCCTGTTTCGACGCATTCGTTAAACTCAGTGGTTGTTTCGACGCGTTCTCTATCGCGTTGTTCGACGCGCTGTGAACTTCCCTTCTACTTCTGTTCGTTCCTGACAAATTCTCCTCGAAACACAGCAAATTACAGTTCTTGACCGGAGTACATATGATCTGTCCCGCTCTCGCATCGTCAAAACCCATATGTAGGTGCGAGCAAGACTCATTTGTCACTTGTGCGTCGATGTAAACAGTGTTTACGAATGTCGAATTCGAGAGAAACACGTCGAAATTCTCGCCCATAGAGCAGTTCCATTGACACGTGTATTTATCGAGGAATGGGTCATTATTATATTTTTTCAGGTATATAGTGTCATTAAGGTTATAGATGTATTCTAGAACGGGCGGCTCCGTTGTCTCTGGTTGCTCTGGCATCGGTAGAAACCATAGACAACAATAGGAGCCTGTCATCACTGTGATCAATAGCATGAATACTAATTTTCTGTGGGCCTGAAAAATATATAAATAATTAATTTACTTAAGAGATTAAATATATTTTTATGTACTATTTTTATATAAGAGGTAACTGGTCATGGCTGGAAAGAAGCCATATAGTATATTTAAAAAAAGAAAAACAATGATTTGAATTTTTGCATATCATTCTTGTATCTCTTCGTGTAATGTTTTATAACTATAATTTTGTTATGTAAATAAATATAAAAAAAAACACTAGTGGAACTGTAAAAGTGGTATCATTTTGGAGTACGTCGTCTAGTAACTAAAGGAAAATTATAGTCGAGAGGTGGGTAGCAGTGTCCCTCTTAAAAGATCACGAAAGACGGCGGTTACCAACCCGCTTGCTATGGGCTGACCCATTTCTAAGGTCGACTTTCATACAGTCCTCAAAAGCGACCATTTTTCATATTAAGATGGGCTGACCTGACTTCGTCGGGGAGGAAGGGATTGTTAATAATGCAGTCTACCAATTCCATTGCTAGTAATATACTCTGTCAAGTCGACCTCCACGTAGTCCCCTATGGGAACCACCGTGCTGAATTCCAGGAATCACGATAGGCTAACTGACCTGCCTTTCTCATTCTCGCCTATCATCCCTCACTGGTGCCCCGCCAGCGTATACCGCAGGCGTGATTACCATTCCGCATAAAATATTAATGTCTTCTAAAATACCCACCGGCCAGAAGTCCACCACGTAACCGAAGAGCGGTTTGGCTGCCGCCCACAGCAGGGGTAGTACAGCCGTGACCATTCCCATGACTCCTGGAGACACGCCCAGTTGGCGACCGAACACATTTATTTGTGGTAACAACGGTCCAAGAGCTGTGAACAAGGATGTGTTTTGTTTTATACAACTTAGAATGGCAAACAATCTGACGGGCCACCTGATGGAAAGTGGTAACCGTCGCCTATACACATGAGCAGTACCATAGACATAACAGAGTATACTGTTTCGCCCATGATACCCCCCATGCGTTGCCATTCCTGAGGACTCAGGTGTTATTCCTCTGTACCCTGTAAATTCACTGCCATATCCCACCCTTCAAACTGAAACACACCCATGCAAATACAACTGCTTTACAGTAGAAACACGAATGGTACAGAGGTGGGTACCTAATGGGGACTGTACAAAGTCTTAAGTGTCTTAAGTCATTTGCTTACCCAAGCAAACGACTTTTGTACAGTCCCCCTCTGGTAAAATACATAGCAAAGTAACATGGAATATCCACGTTTGATAATAGATTGTGTAAACATAATCAAGTCATTCGACATTGTAACTTGGAAATAAAGTTTAGCAATTAAAACGACATGATTATTGTCGGAACAAATATGATATTTTATTATTTTACAGTGTAACAATTGCATTGTTAAATATTCTGATAGTCGTAAACGATAAAACACCGAGACAAGGTTATAGATTGGCTTCATTTTTAGCCCTTTTTGTTCCTTAATAAAACAGGCCAGTTAGCCCATCATGATGAATTCATCAGGAATTAACCATGATAGTTTCTAGGGGGAACCGCGAGGAGATCGACCTGGTTGGGTATATTGCTAACAATGGGATTCTCAGTCTCCATTACTAACAATCCCTTTCCCCCCGCTGCTTTAGCAAGGTCGGACAGTAAATACGCTTTTAGTTTAAACTTTCCGTTCTTAGTTTTATTATTTTTCTGTTACGCCTCGACCAGAGACAATTTTAATCATACCCCTCCATCCTAAGGTTGCCTGCAAGAGATCAGTGTTTAGCGATAAGGCCGCCCATTGTTGCCCCTTTATCTTGCTTTCATGTAATTATATATTTGTTTTGTTTGTGTACATATTGTTAATCTTTATAAACTGCATCGTTCTTGGTAAACAACAATTAAGAGTTTTCATCCATTCATTTATTGCTATATGAATTCTAAACACACTCCGGTTAAAATAGACAGATCTTAATGCAATACGCATTGTGCGAGTTTAGAGCTCTTAGACTCCTTAACCATTAATATATCTTATCAGATCGGGGGAGGAGAGTATTGTTAGTAACGCGGGCGACCAGTCCCATTGCTAGCAGGTCTGTCAGGTCGACATCCACGTAGTCGCCCTGGAAACCATCGTGCTGAATTCCATATACATTCATGACGATGGGCTACCTGACTGTATGCTTGTTTAGTTTGCAGAGTCCAGTGAAAGCCCTTGTTACATACATATTATTTTTAATCAAAAAATTGTATTTTTAACCAGGGATTTTTAGTGATTTAATCCTGGCATCAGGGACCAGCTATTAAATATAACCAGTGATATGGAGTTCCGCAAGATAATGCTTAGTTCAACATACCATCTAATTCAATTTAACATATTGCTTTGCAAAAAACAAGCGTCTTTCATTATGAACGCATATATTAACATAAATACATTGTAAATATTGCGTGTTTGCATACAGATAGTAAACTGCAGAGGGGAAACAGCAGTATCATTTGTCATTGGACACAAAATTACAAGATTTTGTTGTAAAACAAAACACCCGCTTTAATCGTTGCAAAGCCTAACTGGCTTTGATGAAAAAAGTTCAAACTATTGATTCGTCCTTGATAAAACTTCAATTTGAAAGTATATTTATTGAAATACAAAAAATTTTAGTCGGTTTATAACTGACAGAGTTATTAGATAAGAAACAAAATTTAAACAAATCGAGAATTTCCTCTCTTTTTGAAGTCGGCTAAAAAAAAAGTAACACGGGAGTAAATCGTTTTATTTTTGTTAATGTAAAGGCAACCCCGCCTGCGCTATCGGTATACGCCGACGGAAAACCAGTGAGGGATGATAGTTGAGGATGAAAGCAGGTCAGTTGGCCCATCGTGACGAATTCCGCAAGAGTTAACCACGATTGTAGTTGGAACCCCATGGGGATCGACCTAAAAGGTTATAATGCTAACAATGGGGATGTGGGCGGAAAGGGATTGTTAGTAATGGAGACTGAGAATCTCATTGCTAGCAATATACCCAACCAGGTCGACTTCCTCGCATGTCTTCCTGGAAACTATCATTATTAATTCCTGATGAATTCATCATAATGGGCTAACTGGCCTGTTTTCATTCTCATCTATCACCCTTCACTGGTGCTCCGAAAGCGTATCCCGTTAGCGCAGGCGGGGTTACCATACCATTTTCGCTCAAAAAAAAAAACCATGGGGATGTTAGACTCTAATACTAACAATTTCTTCCCCCCTGTCTAGTTTTAATATAGTTGGTTTAGTTAAAGCGCCAAGAGAAAACAAACACACTTCGCCGTCATGATAGCCGCATACAAACTACGTGATACCGCGTGTTCCATTATCACACAATCTCGTAATGATAATACTCGCAATGTCGTTTGTATATCTTGTCGTAATCTGCAAACAGGTTTTTTTATGATACTTAGAATGGCAAACTAGCGGCCCACCTGATGGAAAGTGGTAACCGTCGCTTATAGACAGAGATAGCCAGTATTTTTATTTTTCAATGGATAATAATGGTACGGTAACCCCGCCTGCGCTATCGGGATACGCTGGCGGAGCACCAGTGAAGGGCGATAGATGAGAATGAAAACAGGCCAGTTAACCCATCATGATGAATTCATCATGAAGAATTAATCAATTTTTTTTTAGCGCCACCTACCTACGTATGCTTTAATTCCTTCTACCCAAAGGTTGTCTGGAAGAGATTGCTTAGCAATAAGACCGCCTTTTGTATTACACTATACGTATTGAAAGTTGTTCAACAAATCCTGTTATGTTCGTGCAATAAAGTGTTAAATAAATAAATGGCAAACAAGCTGACGGCCCACCAGATGGAAAGTGGTAACCGTCGCCTATAGACATGAGCAGTACAATGGACATAACAGAGTATACTGTTTCGCCCATGATACCCCCCATGCGTTACCATTCCTGAGGACTCAGATGTTATTCCTTTGTACCCTGTAAATTCACGCCATATTCCACCCTTCAAACCGAAACACAGCCATGCAATCTCTTTACAATATACGACAAAAATGCAAATATAGGTACAACAGCAATTGGCTGTTTATTTCGTTTCATTTCAAAAACTTTTCCTAATTTAAACCATTATCGTGGATAAAACCGGATCGCATAGCTAATTTTATACCTGAAGGTTACTTGATAATTCTCAAAGACTATGCTAAATACAGCTATCGCTTTATTTTCCACTAGCGGCCCGTCCCGGCTTCGCACGCGTGGACATTTTTACAAAATTTTAAAAAATGGTCATTGTGACATAACGATAATAGTTGGACATGTAGTATCGCGAAGTTTTTTGTAGTTATTGATATTTTCTTCAATATTGTAAAACATACTTTTGTTCTATGACCAATAGTTTCCGCAGCGCACGCGACTAAAGTAATTTTATAGCATTTTTTCACACCTTGAGTTACGTTACTAAAATTTTAGGAAGGATCCCTAATCTTTTCTAGCAATAAATAATCCCTTTCCCCCCTAGACAGACCCTCAGGTCAGTCGGCCTATCGCGACGAGTTCCACAATTAACCACGATGGTTTCCAGGGGGAACCGCGTGGATATCGACCTGATGGGGTATAATGCTAACAATGGGGCTGTCTTTTTTTTGATGGGTGAAAATGGTATGGTAGCCCCGCTTGCGCTAACGGGATACGCTGGCGGAGCACCATTGAAGGGTGATAGATGAGAATGAAAACAGGCCAGTTAGCCCACCATGATGAATTCATTAGGAATTAACCATGATAGTTTCCAGGGGGAACCGCGAGGAGGTCGACCTGGTTGGGTATATTGCTAGCAATGGGATTCTCAATCTCCATTACTAACAATCCCTTTCCACAATGGGGCTGTTAGACCCCATTATTAATAATCCCTTTATTCCTCCGCTGTAGCTGTAGGGCATTAAAATCGGCAATTGGATCACGGTCGTGAGCGTGCGAGATTTATCATTATGCAATTTGGCCAGGATACACCGGGGGCCTTGACTCCCGCGCTGCTGGTACTGCGACGTCACAGTATAATATGTGTCACGTTAGGGTTGACATCAATGTGTGAGATTAACAAAGCAGTTGTGTTTACATGGCTGTGTTTTGGTTTGAAGGATGGGATATGGCGTGAGTTTACAGGGTACAGAGGAATAACGCCTGAGTCCTCAGGAATGGCAACGCATGGGGGGGTATCATGGGCGAAACAGTATACTTTGTTATGTCCATGGTACTGCTCATGTCTATAGGCGACGGTTACCACTTACCATCAGGTGGGCCGTTAGCTTGTTTGCCATTCTAAGTTGTATGAAAAAAAACGAAATGTTACGATTCATTTACAGGACCGATTTGGTACGAACAAAAACACGTCATTAGTCCCGAGAATTCGAATTTCATGTCGTGGTAGACCCGTTTTCATCCTCATCTATCATCTCTGAGAAGGGTTTGTTAGTAATGCGAACTACCAGTTCCGTTGCTAGCAATATCTGTCAGGTAGACCTCCACGTGGAGGAACCTGAAAACCATTGTGACTAATATATCGTTGAATTCGTCACGATGGGCTAACTGACCTGCCTTTTCATCCTCACCTATCATCCTTCACTGGTGCCCTGTCAGCGTAGGCGGGGTTACCATTGAGTATACTTTATTTGCATTATACAATATAGGAAATAAGCAAGACAATTTACAAACACAACGATACAATTGTATAAGTACAGTAAGGCGGTCTTATTGCTGAGAGCAGCTTTTCAAGACAACCTTAAGGTAATGGACTAATTGTTGTACAAGTAGGTACGATAGTGCTGTATAATTAAAAAAGCATCTTTTGCAAATTAAAAATATATAAGGAAGGTTACCATTGCATTATAATCCATTAAAAAAGAAATAAATCCATTTCATTCATTTAAAAAAATCCACACGCAGTCATAAAAAGTCATAAAAAAAAATATTTCCGAGAATTATCATAATTATTTTACAGCACGCAATAATTATCATGTCATTTAATCTTTTTTTTTCAAATGTAATAAAGTTTATTGTGAATTTAGCGTTTCGTCAAACAAGCAGTATTATCACTCTGCTTGTTTGACGTTGTTTGAGATACCTACTTTTTTTTTATACAACTTAGAATGGCAAACAAGCTGACGGCCCACCTGATGGAAAGTGGTAACCGTCGCCTATACACATGAGCAGTAATAATGGAAATAACTGAGTATACTGTTTCGCCCATGATACCCCCCATACGTTGCCATTCTTGAAGAAAGCGAAGGTCAACTACATGTCACGGCCTAAATTTTAGGTATGGGAACATCAAAGGGCCAAATCAAATATTTTCCGAAATTTCGGAGACTAACGAAACAGAAAATATTAAAATTGCATAATATATGCCATTTAAAATTATTAAAAATGTTAAAATATCGTTCCTCTGGACTATTACAATAGGATTTATGATGAACGAAATGTTAAGCTCCATTTAAGCCCGAAAATTCGGAATTTAATTTTATGATAGACCACCTGTACAGAGTCAGTGGATGCAGGTGGCTCGGGAACGTTCCTTATAGCAGTCTATTGGGGAGGCCTATGTCTAGCAGTGGACAAATAATGGTTCTTTATGGAAGTCATAAAGAACGGTCCTGACCCACCTACATCCACTGACTCCCTGCAATGCTTTTTAGGTCATCACTCCATCTAGTGGGGGGTCGTCCTACACTGCATTTACTCCTACTCAAGAACCTTGCCACAACTGAGGTGGCAAATAAGCATACGGCCCACCTGATGGTAAGCAGTTACCATAGTCTATGAACACCTGCAATATCAGAGGTATTACTCGTGCATTGCCAACCCTGAAGAGACCTCTTTACCTCCCTTTGAAGAACCTCATGTTGTAGTTTCTTGAAAAACCTTGACAAGGACCTCATTCCATAATCTAAGCGTTCATGGGAGAAAACATATCTGATACCGCACTTCCATTAGAGTCTAAGGTATGAGGATGAACTCTTTATCAATGGCGAGCTGTATGATGGTAGAAAGGGATCGTAGGCATCATATTGAACAATCCATTGTACAAGTGGAAGAACACGCAGCGAGGAGCAAAATCTCTCCTAAGCCTTAAGTGAAACAAATATACTTGTATGTAACTTGAGTGTCAAAGAGGCGACTAAAGGAGCTTAATGATCAAGGGATAGGCAGTAGTATCCCTTGGGGGGAAAGGGATTGTTAGTAATGGGGTCAAATAGCCCCATTACTAGCAATATACCCTGTCAGGTCGATCTCCACACACGGTTCCACCTGGAAACCATCGTGGCTAATTCTAGTAGCATTTGTCAGGATGGGCTAACTGACCTGTTTTCATCCTCATTAGTCATCTATCACTGGTGCCCCACAAGCGTATACCGATAGCGCAGACGGGGTTATCATACCATTATCACCCATTAAAATAAAAAAAGTAGTGTCCCTCTTAAAACATTCCCAAAGCCTAACTGTAGTTGCCAACCCACTTGCCAAGAGTGGCAACTACTGGCAAAACTCCCCATATTGGGTAGAATTATGTTCAGCAGTGGACAGTTAAAGGCTGAAATGATGATGATGAATCAAGTAGACAATGTTGTGTAATTTATATTTAAAATGTATACTGTTGGTATACCAATTTCAAATAAATAAAAAAAAATAAGTATTCCAGTTTACAGTTTTTAATGTACTTTCAATTAAAAAATAGACAAAAATGTGTAGGTATAATTAACTTAGGTAATTAATATGAAGTAGATAAAGTATTTCTATTAAAAATTAATAATTTAAAACTTATCAATTCAATATATCAAAATTATAAGTGGAAAAGATTGATAATTTATACAAATATAGAGAAAAGATTTGATTGTTTATTTATAATGGATAAACTCAAAAATTATTAAATCGATTTTAAAAATTCTTTCCCCTATAGTAAGCTGTATTGTCAGGGAGTAACATAGATCATATATTGCCGGGTCGAACCGCTAGCCCTAAAGGTATTCACTGTCCAAAATGAATAATTAACAATAAGCTCTTAGAAAATATTATAATACGTGATAAAATATAGATACTTACCAGCAAAAAAGAAGAAAAAATGAACCTTTATAGGCACCAGGCCCTTGTCAATCTTGAACTTCATTTTGTGAATTTTACACAAAGAATCGTTACATTTATTACAAATTAAAAAAGTGTACGAAAACACAAATGAATATTTATTTACAGATTATAATAGACACTACGCTCACACATGCATAGCAACGGAGGTCAGTGGCCGAAAACAGACATTCGCAAACTCGTAAAACTACTTTCTGTTCTATAAAGTGATACTAAACGAGTACGTATTTAAATTTTATTTACACAACACAGAAATGATAACAAAACTCGAGCGAGACAGATGACCGTCGCCAATGAAATGTCAAAATATAAACATGTCAACCTTTGTCATCTACGGGCGAAGCAAAGGAGCAAAGTGCATTCTGACGTCAAAACAATTATGTACTTACGTTTCTTTTCACACTTATTATCTCTGTGCCTTAAATATTAATTTATTTATTTAAAAATATTAAAATAGATACAACTTTCGCCAATTGAAAATGGTAGTATCTATGTTGTCAAGATAAATAAAAATAGGCATATTATACTCGATTTAATTTTTCATTTTCTAATTAGACATCACTATTTAAGGCGATCGTCAACTATTATTATATTTTGAAAATTGCCTTCTTTGTGTAAATAATTTGAAGAGTTCGCTTGTGTCTAATTAAAAAAACTGAAAAATGGAGGAGGAAGAAATTGTAGGTTGCATCAGTTGCATGAGCAGCAACGATTTATGCGACCTGTTTGCTGTTTATTCAGAAAATGAGGATACTTACGCGAAAATGTTCGAAACTTGTTTTGATATAAAGGTTTTTATATTTAATTTTTTTTATTACACATACATATATTTAATATTATAAATTAAGTATTTATAAACTTAATAACACATGTTGATTTCTTATTTTAGATTACAAAAAAATAATTAATATTATTCATACTTTTAACCATAAACTTAGTGTAACGTACTATGCGTTTTAAGAACTAAAATTTTTTTGACGTTTTATTTTACAAATAAGCAACGATTTAATATAAATGAAACATTATTATTATGTAGTTATTTTTTTATAGTTGGATGTACATTTGTTCATTATTTAACCATTGAGTATATATATATTTGGGGGTAGAATGCAAAAATGTAGTTACGATCAATAATATCTAGATGGAGTATTTTCATAAAAATGTATCAACGAAACGGTCTCTTTTAAAAATGGCGTACTTTTTGGTAGATTCAAAATTGTATAAATCTTGTATATTTATTTTAATATATTATCAATACCATAACATAAATAATGATTTTTAGGTCGCAAATGGCATGAAATATTTATGTTCATATTGTGTTGAAAAATTGGAAGCGGCTGTTTCATTTAAAGAGCAGACTATTAAAAACATGGCTGTCATACAAAGTATTAAAGGTATTTTATTATTGTATTTTGTAGTTTTGTATAACTACGCACAATGTTCAATATTTGTCTTAAATAATAGAAAAGTTTATAAGTTTGAAAACTCAGGATTTAGTACAATGGCGCCATCTACAAGCTTCCTCAGTATTTCCAAAGTGATACATTTAGGTATTTCGATTATTTGATAGATCATTTTAGTAGAAATTTTTAAGTTGCCATAGAGTAAATATATTTTGGAGTACATATCGCTAATTTTTCAAGGATCTTCGACATGTTTCAAGTACTACAAGCTTGCATGCAAGCAAAACTTAAAACACGCCTACTTTTCCGACTCCAAAAAGGAGGTTCTCTAATAAATTGTTTTATTTTTTTGTTTCTTTTTTGTTGTTACCTCATGGCTCCGTCAATTGTAAACCGATTTGGATTTTTTTTTACATATTTGTTCCATAGAAATTTCACCAAAATCAGTTTAGTAGTTTAGTTTTTAAATCAAAATAACAAGTTTTGTCACAATTGAAGACGATGTTTTTGAAGACTTTGTACAAAAGTCGATTGCTTGGGTACCTCTGTCCCATTCGTGTTTCAACCGTGAAGCAGTTGTGTTTGCATGGCTGTGTTTCGGTTTGAATGGTTTATATGGCGTGAAATTACTGGGTACAGAGGAATAACACCTGAATCTTCTGGAATGGCAACGCATGGGGGGTATCATGGGCGAAACAGTATACTCTGTTATTATGTCCATGATATTGCACATGTCTATAGGCGACGGTTATCATTTTCCATCAGATGGACCGTCAGCTTGTTTGCCATTCTAAGTTGTATAAAAAAAAAAAATTTGTGGAATATTATATCTATTTAAAGTCGGCTAAAATACGGTATTGTCCATCTAGCCTTTCCACGGTCTCTCCCGAACTACTTAGGTAGTTCGGTGTAGACCTTGATCAATTAGTAATTGGCGTCTGTTCCCGAGTATGACGTTCTCTAATATTTATCTGTTAATATGTATAAGAGATCGCTCTTAGCTATAAATTCGCCTATTGTTTTCTCATTATGATTATTTCTTGTAATTGTTTATATTTATAATAAGTTTACTGTTGTAATCTTTTGGAAAGAACAATAAAGAGTATCTATCTTTCACAGAGGAAGAGTACTTAGACGAAGCCATACTGGAGGAGGCTGACTCCCAAACAGCTGGTCCTAACAGAATCCAAATTCATAAAAAGGAGCCTGCGGACAATGACTACAATGATGGTAAGCAAAGTAAACCATATATATTTGGGGGGGGGGGGGGAAGAGATTGTTAGTAATGGGATCTAACTTACCCATTGCTAGCAATACACCCTATCAGGTCGAACTTTATACAGTTCCCCCTGGAAATCGTCGTTAATTCTAGTGGAATTCATTACGGTGGGCTAACTGACCTGCTTTCATCGTCACCTATCATCCTTCACTGGTGCCCCGCCGGTGTATACCGATAGCGTGAGTGGGGTTACCATTGCATTTTCACCCATTAAAAAAATCTTCCCCTGCGCAGTGAAGATGCCATCACATTTTCATTAAAACAAACTCCTCATTAGATATAGATGAAGAGCATGCAATCCAAGCACTGGACGAGACGAGCTGCATCTACTGCAACCTGCAGTTCGGAACAGTGGACGAGGTTCACGACCACATCAGGAACATCCACGAGTTGGAGCCAAGGACTGGGCAGAAGCTGAGAGAGTGTGCACTCTGCGGTATATGCATGAGGGATCCTGCTGACCACCTGAACAGGTTTAGTAGATTTATTGGACAATTTTTTTTTTATATAATCTAAAATGAAAACAAACTACGGTTCACATAATGAAAAGTGGTAATCTTCCAGTATTAGTAAGGTATATTTTTTAATGGGTGAAGATGAAATGGCCGTCCGCCTGCGCTATCGGTGAACACTGGCGGGGCACCAGTGAAGGATGATAGATGAGGATGAAAGCAGGTCAGTTAGCCTATCATGACGAATTCCACTACAATGAACTACGATGGTTTCCAGAAGGAACCGCGTGGAGGTCAACCTAACAGGGTGTATTGCTAGCAATGGGTCAATTAGACCCCATTACTAGCAACCCCTTTCCTCCTCAAAAGAAGGGGTGGCCCATTCTATGCCGAGAGACCACATGGCAATTGGTGTGACGGTGTGGCATTTATTATTGCCTTCTATCTTCAGGTGCCACGGCGTGAAGTCGGAGTCGGGGGGCAGACAGTATCCTTGTCACTTCTGTGACAATATCTACAACAGCAAGAAGGCGTGCTTCACCCACCTCCGGATGAAACATGGATGTTGGTATCTATATTCTAAAACTATTGAAAACTATGTCCAAACTTCTCAGGAGACTTAGAGCATCATAATTTTTTCCATCACCTTATTGCATCGAATATAAATTAGGAAATAGGGAGGGAAGAGATTGTTAGTAATGCGAACTACCAGTCCTATTGCTAGCAATATACCCTATCAGATCGACCTCTAGGCAGTTCCTCCTGGAAACCATCGTGCTAAATTTCAAACGTATTCATTACGATGGGCTAACTGACCTGCTTTCATTTTCACCTACCATCCCTCGCTGATGCTCCGCCAATGTATACCGTTAACGCAGGCAGGGTTACCATACCATTATAACGGGTGATATTGTATACTCTGTTATGCCCATGTTATTGCTCATGTCTATAAGCGACGGTTACCACTTTCCATCATGTGGGCCGTCAGTTTGTTTGCCGTTCTAAGTTGTATAAAAAAAGTATTTGCATATATCAAATTAGAATGGCAAACAAGCTGAAGGCGCGCCTGGTGGAGAGTGGTAACCGTCGCCTCTAAATATGAATCATCATCAGCATATCAGCCTTTAACTGTCCACTGCTGAACATAAGCCTCCCTCTCTGGGGTTGCTAGTGTTTGCCACGCTTAGTAGGCGGGTTGGCAACCGCAGTTAGCCTTTTTAGACGTTTTAAGAAGGAGCGTTTAAAACTTTTTAAGCTGCCTTGGATATTATCTTATCTTGCCTTCGCCCTGCTGCAGAAGGACGTTTTAAGCTGCCTATCGCTTGTTCCCCTTTACTCTCTTCTTACGACACCCACGGGAAAGTAAGGAGTGGCCTATTCTATGCCAGAGCTGTAGGGCATACCATTGCATTATCGCCTGTTAAAGAGCCCGCATGATGAAGTGTGTTAATAGGATTACTTAATTATATAAAAAAGAACCATAAAAACAATTTATTTTCCAGTGAAGCTATGCAACGACCAAACGCCAAAGTACACGCCCCGGGAACGTAAGAAATGCCATATGTGCAACCGCGACTTCAGCCAGAAGCAGATCCTGAACAAGCACCTGTGGAAGGCACACGGGTTCGAGGTGAGTTTCCATAACAAATATATTGTCTTCTGCCTCTTCTGGACACTGATGGCCCAAATCGGTCGGATATTTCACTATATTACTCACTACTTCCTATGCCACTGCGTTAGGTTGACTGGAAGAAATCTCTTTTAGAGATAAGTTCGCCTTTGCTAACATTGTTATTAACTTATTGTTGTTACTGTATGTTTTTGTGCAATAAAGAATATATATATATATATATATATATATATATATATATATATATATATATATTATATTTATATTGATTTTGATCGGTTTCTTCATTTCAATGTTGTATATTGGATAAAATTTACGTCATATATCTAAAATTGGGCCAATATCAGGATATTTTAAGTTTGAAGACGAAGGTCTTTAACCAGTGCGTGTTGACCAGTGATGACTTACGGAACCGAAACATGGTCCTTCACGATTGCCCGTATGCAAAAGCTTCAAATTACTCAGCGGGTTATGGAGAGAGCTATGCGCGGAGTCTCTTTACGTGATAGAATCCAAAACGAGGATATCCCCGCTGGAAAACGAAAGTAACCGACATAGTCTAAAGGATAAGCAAGCTGAAGTGGCAAGGGGTGGCCATGTAGGTCGAAGAACCAATAACGGATGGCGAAGAAAGGTTCGTGAGTGAGTTCGTGACGATCCCAACTAGATGAAGTGACGACCTCAAATGAATTATAGGGAATCAGTGGATGCAGGTGACTCGGGACCGTTCCTTATGGCAAGTTTTGTCCAGCAGTGGACGGATAATGGCTGAAATAACGATGATGATGATGGACATTGTAACTACAATATACAGATATTTCTTTATTAATATAAAGAGTGGGTAATCCCACTCCTACTTTTATCATGATTGGCGTTATTAGGAGAGCTATATGTAGACGCTGGCGGGGCACCAATTAGCCCATCGTGACGAACTCAACAAGAATTAACCACGTTGCTGTGTGATCCCGGCATAGAATAGGCCACCCTTTTTTTACCAGAGGGAGACTTTATACAAAAGTCGATTGCTTGGGTACCTGTGTCTCATTCGTGTTTATACCGTGAAGCAGTTGTGTTTGCATGGCTGTGCTTCGGTTTGAAGGGTGGGATATGGCGTGAATTTACTGGATACAAAGGAATAATATCAGAGTCCTCAGGAATGGCAACGCATTAGGGGTATCAAGGGCGAAACAGTATACTCTGCTATGTCCATGGTACTGCTCATGTCTATAGGCGATGGTTACCACTTTCCATCAGGTGGGCTGTCAGCTTGTTTGCCATTCTAAATTCTAATAAAAGAAACCCTTTCTTTTTCCGTGGGTGTCGTAAGAGGCGACTAAGGGAGGGCGAGGGATGGGCAGCAGCGTTCCTCTTAAAACATCTTTAAAAGCCTAACCGCCAAGCATGGCAACAACAAGCAAAACTCTCCTTATGGGGAAGGCTAACGTCCAGCAGTGTACAGTTAACGGCTAAAATAATACCCAAGATATAACTGAATTGTGACAAAATCAGTTTAGACTTGACGGAGTTGTGAGGTAACAAACATAAACTACAACCGAATGGACAACTTCCTTCTTTTTTACCACCAGTCTAGTTCCAAAGCCAAGTTTTAAAAAAATGCAGTGGCAAATATTTCCTTTTCTACTCCTCGAGGTGGAGAAGCGGAAAGCGTTCACGTGTCCGCTGTGCGACGAGCGCGTCAGCTACGGTTCCCACTTTAGCGCGCACCTTCTGCACGAGCACACGCTCACTGAGCAGGTGGAACAGCTCGAGTTCTACAGCATGGACGGTGAGAAGCAGGGAGACTATATGGATACCCGGGGGGGAATTGTTAATAATGGAGACTTAGGGCAATGGGGCCCAATATTAGAGCGTGGGGGAAAGGGATAGTTAGTAATTTCTAATTGATCCATTACTAGCAATACACCCAACCAGGTCGACCTTCACGTGGTCCCCTGGAAACCATCGTGCTGAATTCCAAGTGTATTCATCACAATGGGTTAACTGACTTGTCTTTTCATCCTCACCTATCATCTCTCACTGGTGGCCTGCCAGTATATACCATTAGCGCAGGCAGGGTTACCATTCCATCATCACCCATTAAAAAAAACAAAAATAAAATATGGATACCGATCCAATATCTGTATATTTGGTCCTTCTGGACTTTGATGGCGGGAAAAAGCTCATCAGCCATTTTGATATCGCCCATACCGGTCGGATATCTATTTTCGAATATGTTAAAAGTCTGTTGTCCAATATTATTTTTTGGATAACAGACTTTCGACTTACTCGTATTCGTTATTGGACCAGTATATAGATGTTGTAACTAAAATATATAGATGTTTTTTATACAACTAAGAATGGCAAAGAAGCTGACGGCCCACCTGATGGAAAGTGGTAACCGTCGCCTATAGACATGAGCAGTACTATGGACATAACGGAGTATACTGTTTCGCCCATGATACCCCCCATGCGTTGCCATTCCTGAGGACTCAGGTGTTATTCCTCTGTACCCTGTAAATTCACTTCCTTATCCCATCCTTCAAACCGAAACACAGCCATGCAAACACAACTGTTTCACAGTATATTACCCACGCCTAATAATTATATCAAATAAATTTAAAGACTACCGCTTTACGAGTTTTCATATTTTAGCCCACTAAAGTATGGCAACGCAATTATCTGACATTTTTTTTATTTATTTACTAAAACAACTATATTGACCAAAAGAAAATATGGTACAAAAGTCGGACTTAATGCTAAAAAGAAAGAAAGAAAGACACTTAAAGAAAAGAAAGAAACTTAACAGTCGAGGGATAGGCAGCAGCGTCCCTCTTAAAACATAACCAAGGCCTAACTGCGGTTGCCAATTCGCCTGCCAAGCGTGGCAAATAAGCAGTGGACAGGGGATGGCTCATATGGTGATGATGATGATGATTATATAATATTATAATTATAATAATTAAATAATTATAAATTTCTTTATATTTTTTTTATACGACTTAGAATGGCAAACAAGCTGACGGCCCACCTGATGGAAAGTGGTAACCGTCGCCTATAGACATGAGCAGTACCGTGGACATAACAGTACACACACATACTGTTTCGCCCATGATACCCCCCATGCGTTGCCATTCCTGAGGACTCGGGTGTAATTCCTCTGTACCCTGTAAATTCACGTCATATCCCACCCTTCAAACCGAAACACAGCCATGCAAACACAACTGCTACACGGTTGAAACACAAATGGGACAGAGGTATCCAAGCAATCGACTTTTGTACAAAGTCTCCCATTGTTAAAAATTTAGACGCTGACATAGAGGCAGAATGTACACGATAAATATAAATCTATCATCTAAAATTACCTACATTCCAGCAAAATAAATTCATTTCATTTCAGACTTCATGCTGTTCAAGAGTGCGGTACAGGAAGAGACGAAGTATCGGTTCAGGAAGACGACAGCCAGCAAACAAACCATAGAGGGCATCAGGTCGCATTACATGTGCAGCCAATCCGGCGTCTACGTGTATCAGGTATATAACATTGTGCTGGGCCCATAACCTACAGGATCGTGGATCGTAACCCTGCTCTGCTACCATTTAATATGATTTTCTAATGAGTTGAAAATGAAATGGTAACTCAGTCTGGGTTATTGGTATACGCTGTCGGGGCACCAGTGAGGGGTGACAGATGAAAACAAAAGCTGGTTTATTGTGACGAATTTAACAAGATTTAAGATATTTTCTGGGGGGAATTAGCTATCTGATAGTGTATATTATTAGTTATGGGACCGCTAGTCTCCATTACTAACAATCCCTCCCCCCAAAATATGTCAGAGGTAGGTCAATATGCCTTATTAGGTCGACCTCCACGTGGTTCCCCCTGGAAACGATCGTGAACAATTCTTGTTGAATTCATCACGATGGGCTTCATGAATTCATCAGGAATTAACCATGATAGTTTCCAGGGAGAACCGCGAGGAGGTCGACCTGGTTGGGTATATTGCTAGCAATGGGGTTCTCAGTCTCCATCACTAACAATCCCTTTCCCCCCTGCCATATGGCATTAAGCTTACCACTTGTACAAAGTTTTGTTGTGCAATAAAGAATTAATAAATAAATAGATAAAACTCTCTAATTGCAGGGCAAAGGTAAAAGGCCAGCCCCCGAGCGCCAGATCTACAAGACGGGCAAGGCGTGCCCGGCGCACATGATAGTGACGGAGACCCTGGACCGGGTGCTGGTCACGTTCTACAAGACACACGTGGGCCACGGACGTGAGTGATCGTTTAGCCTACATTGCGTACCAGAGGGAGACTTTGTACAAAAGTCGATTGCTTGGTTACCTCTGTCCCATTCGTGTTTCTACCGTGAAGCAGGACTCAGGTGTTATTCCTCTGTATCCAGTAAATTCACGCCATATCTCACCCTTCAAACCGAAACACAGCCATGCAAACACAACTGCTTCACGGTTGAAACACGAATGGGACAGAGGTATCCAAGCAATCCGACTTTTGTACAAAATTGAATGCATTTAATTTCATTCATGAATTTCTAATTTAAAAACTGTTATAATGTTTTATTCTGATATACCGCGCCTTCTAGAAGAAGTCTATTTTATAGATTTTTCTGCTACTCAAAAACCACGCTTACGAAGTAGTAGGCAAGAAGCTAGTCTATGTATATACATATTATGTTTGTATATATAGCATGCCCTTACTTCGAACCGCGGGAATCGAAAAAACAAAGACTAGAAACGTCCGAACAAGAAATACTGGAGAATGGGGTCAAGGAAGAGAACGACGGCATGGACTCGTGGATATGTGACGCGTGCGGCATGGGTTTCCTGGACAGGGGCAAGTTCAACGTGCACGTGGCCAGCCATAGGCTGAAGATGTTCCCGTGTCAATATTGTGAGGAGGTAAACATTTCTTAGTAGATACTGTAGACGCCATTTCTTTTACCCTAATATACAGGGTGTAAGGGACAGGTTAGCAAAGTCTGAAACAGTGAAATCAGACCATTCTTCTGTACTGACAACCAGTGGAAATTCTGTAAATAGGGAAAAATTCATTTTTTTCTATTTAAAATCATGTATGATATTATGTCATAATATAAAGAAATAATAATATTTTATTGTGAAATACTATGAAATATCAAAAAACAGCAATGAAATGTACTCGTAGCAGCGTATTAGAACTCTACCGCGACGCGCGGAATCAGCTATGTAAGGTCACGCCACAAGCGTACGAAAACTACTTACGAAGAAGCGCCACTGACCGCGCGCTGTAGGTATCTCGCGTCGCGTGAAGCACAGTACGTAATAAAATTTCAAATACATTGCGCGGCGTCAACGCTAAGAATCGTTAATTATATGGCTGCGGTGCATTTCCGGCGGGAAAACAATCTGCCGTCTGATTCAGACCGTTCATCTGAATCAGCTGTTTTCGTTTTGGCCAACCTGTCCCTTCCACTCTGTATTACGTCGATAGTTTCACAAAATTATTGCTTTATAGACCACTAGCGGCCCGTCCCGGCGTCGCACGGGTGGACATTTTTAACATTTCATTTCACTGCTCTGCTCCTATTGATCGTAGCGTGATGAAAAGTATACTATAACCTGCCCAGGAGTATGAAGAATAATTGTACCGAGTTTCGTTAAAATCCGTTGAGTAGTTTTTGTTTCTATAACGAACACATACAGACAGAACGACAGTCAAAAATTTTACTGATTGCATTTTTGGCATCAGTATCGATCACTAATCACCCGCTGATAGTTATTTTGGAAATATATTTCATGTACAGAATTGACCTCTCTACAGATTTATTATAAGTATAGATTATTAACAAAATTTACAGTAATTTTGATTGGAAATCTATTAGACATTCAGTTCATATTGGTCTTTAGAATAAAAATCTCGTTGTAATATCAAATTTAAATTTTAATATTAGAAATAGGTTTAAAGAAATAACGCCTCCAAATTGGCGAAGTAGATAATCTACTTCAAATAGCTGCACCATCGACCGACTTTCAAAATAATCTTTAATAATTCTCTATTTTTAATTATTGCCGCCCTGGACAATTGTTTGAGACCCTGGATCTGACCCTGATTGTATTAAAACTGTTTACAGGATTTCCAAGAACTAGACGCCTGGACGTGTCATGTTCGAACGGAACACAATATGGCGAGCTTGTTTTAGTGATAAGTTAATATTTAGTTATTTTTAGACGTGGGTAATATATAGCAATATCAATATATTTTAGTTACAATATCTGTATACTGGTCCCATAACGGATACGTTAATAGTACATTACTGCAGCGGCCAGCAACTGAGGCATTGACGGACGAATGTGCAAAAGTGGGCCTAGGCGTAGCCGAGGCACACATACGTGAATCTATCAATGCCTAGTTGTGGCCAAGGCTTTTATAGTACTTTTCTCAAACAATGCGCGGAAATCAAAAACACAATTTTACTTTTTAAGTTCAATGACGAATAACGAACAGTAATAATTTTTTACGCGCCATAATGTTCCTTTGTTTTTTTAGTATATATATAATTTTCTCTTTGTAATTTCTCTTTGGCTGATGGCTTTCGCCAAAGTCACAATAAATGAAAAAAAAAAGTCTCTTTGCAAGCCAGTTCGAAATTTAAATAAAACTTTGTATTGGTTACCTCCTTGGTAGCCATGTTTCGAAGTAAAAGGTCATTCTATTTTTAAATTACAGGACAGATATGAGTTTACATAGTAATTTATCTGGCCGCAAAACACGACATATGGATTTTCATACAACTTTTGCCGGCCGCTGCCCGCATGTATCTGGCCAGTACGGCAATTTTGATTTATCTCTGAGAAGATTGTCAAAATAATGCTCACATTTCCAAGCATGTTTGAGAAAAAGTTTATTACTGAAAAAAATAATATTGCATAACACTTTTAACATATTCGTAAATAGATATCCGACCGATATGGGCGATGACCTTTTTCCCGCCATTAGTGTCCAGAGAAACCCAATATATAGATATCGGATCGGAATCCATATTACTCATGCCTAATGAAAAGTTACTTATTTTATCAGAACATAAGAACATGTTTATTTGTGGATATGTTGTTTTTATTTTACAAATTGAATTCAAATAGTTTAGCACGAACATCAGTGGAATATTTTTGTTTTCAAAGTTCTTTTTTTATTGTTGCAATAAATTGTTGATATATTTGTAATTGTTTTATTTAACTTATATATATATATATATATATATATACATATATATATATATATATATATATGTATATGTATACGGACCACGTGGTCCCCCGTAGAAATCATCTTGCTAAATTCCAGGTGTATTCATCACGATGGGCTAACCAACCTGCCTGGGGGGAAAGGGATTGTCAGTAATGGGGTCAAATGGGGCTACCATTACTAGCAATATATTCTGTTAGGTCGACCTTCATGTGGTTCCCCCTGGAAACCATCGTGAACAATTCTTGTTGAATACGTCATGATGGGATAACTGACCTGCTTTATCCTCACCTATCATCCCTCACTGGTGCCCCGCCGGTGTATACCGATAGCGCGGGTGGGGTTACCATTCCATTATCACCCATTAAAAAAACCGACCTGCCTTTTCATTCTCACCTATCATCCCTCACCGGCGCCCTGTCAGCGTATATCGTTAGCGGAGGCGGGGGTTACCATTCCATTTTCACATTCATCATTTATACCTGCTATGAATTGACAAAAATAGCAACTGATGGTGTATCTTTCGTCCTCTTTTCACTAATTATATTTGCATAAGAAGAAAGGAGGCAACCATATGATTTACAGTTTTTATTTTATCATTCCTTCTATGTAATTCCTTGTTTTTAGGATATACCTTATGTTCGTACTTTACACAGAAACATACTACGCGCCGTCACCTGATGTTTTATAAGTATTTGTTAAAAGGGATTGTTACTTCATTTCGCAATAAAGCAATGTGTTAAGAAGACGTGTCATTTGATTATCTAAAACAGATCTGTTAGAAACAGGTTTATTTTCATACAGCTATAAACTACTGGCCGGTTGTAATTTAAAAAGATATGTTTTTAAATTTAAGTTGACATACTGTTAAAAACAATCATTGCTATTTGTATTTGCTCTTCTATTAAATTTTATGGTACTTTTATATTGTGTTTATCCTATTGCCTTCCACTGCGGAAATATTAGTTGACATCTTAAGCTAAATACCAACAAGATCAAGCAAAAACATCTGTAAATCTTAAGTGATCACTTTTTATGTTATATTTTCCCTTATCTTTGATTTAAACCAAGTTTCATTAAATTCTTACAAATAATTTACCAGAGGGATGTACAAAAGTAGTTTGCTTGAGCACCGCTGTCTCATTCGTGTTTCTACCGTGAAGTGTTTGCATGGCTGTTTCGGTTTGAAGGGTGGGATATGGCAGTGAATTTACAGGGTACAGAGGAATAACACCTGCGTCCTCAGGAATTGCAACGCATGGGGGGTATCATGGGCGAAACAGTATACTCTGTTATGTGCATGGTACTGCTCATGTCTATAGGCGACGATTACCACTTTCCATCAGGTGGGCCGTCAGCTTGTTTACTATTTTAAGTTGCATAAAGGAAAAACCTGTGAAATGCAGCGATACGAACGTCTATATTGTGCAGTACGAGGCAGTGGCGTAACAATAGGGTAGCAGGGCTGGCAAAATGCCACGGGCCCCCGACACAAAATGGCCCCGGCTCAAGAGGCTTAATGAAATTTAGGACAATTTACAAGGGAATTAATTATAATAAGATTACATTTAAATGTGATTACCAGTACTACCAACAACGTTAACTACAGATTGCTATATAAAAAAAGAAGGTATATAAACATGCAAATATTGACGAGACGTGGAGCTGACCATTATATCTAATAATTAAGTTAAATTATAAATAACATTAACACAACCACATCACCGGTACCAATTATACAAAACAAACAAAAAGATATTTAAATATACACATCTATTTTATAATTTACAAATTATTAATTACTATGTTTTTTTTTTTTTTTTAATTTTACCTGAGTATTTTATTTCACTTGAATAGTATTTTTTTTTACTGATAGGGCCCCATCAAAAGGATTTGCCACAGGCCCCAAATGGTATAGTTACGCCACTGGTACGAGGATTGAATCCAATAATACAAATCCAAATAAATTAATTTTTATTTATTAATTTATTTTCTTACAATAATTTACAAATGTATTATCTAACTTACAATTATATTTTATTATTAAGAAATAATAAAAACTGCATAACAAAAAGTTAAAAGTCTGTATACATAATGAACTCACTGTATTTATTTTATTTGTGTATATATAACGATATATCTTTGTAACCTTTTGTAAACAAAAAAATTACAAATATATAATTTATATTAAATAAATATAAAAAAATGAGTATACTTTATTTGCATTATACAATATAGGGAATAAGCGAGACAATTTACAAACACAACGATACAGTTGTATAAGTACAGTGAGGCGGTGTTATTGCTGGGAGCAATCTTTACAAGACAACGTTAAGGTAATGATGTACAACAGGCGAGCTTAACTCTGTAAGAGTTCTCTTCCAGCAAACCCTGAGTGGAAAGGAGCATTAATTATTACCGGGCAGTGTGCGTACAATAATAGAATTTTATTAAAACACACGGGGCAAACGAGCATGCGTCTCACCTGATGGTAAGTGACTACCGCCGCCCATGGTCACCCACAACACCAGCGGTATTGCAGGTATGCTGCCAGCCTTTTAAAAAGGAATACGCTCTTTTCTTGGAGGTTATGTTGTCGTATCGGTTCGGAAATACTGCTGCTGGAAGTTGATTCCAAAGAGCGGTTGTGCGTGGGAGAAAGTGCCTTGAAAAACGCACGGGGGAGGACCGCCACTCGTCCAGATGGTTGGGATGGAACTTTAGTTTATGTACTGTATACTACGCCATACTAATAACATTTGTTAATTTTTCAATCCCTACGGCTTCATCCGTTCCGTAAGTCTAAAGAAGACTTACGGAACGGATGAAGCCGAAACAAATGTAGGAAACGACAAAAACACAGTGAGTTCATTATTTTCTCGTCAGTTATGTATATAAACGTCGAATGTAATAAAAAATTAACATAAGTGTTTAAGGAAAAATTTGTAAAAATAATAATAAAAATTTCACCAATCCAATTCACTAGGACCGATTCTGATGCGTCATTTACTTAAACCTATGTCTTAACACCTAATATGCGTTTTAATTTGATAATTTGCGAATTTACTATTTTATTCCGGTTTGGTCTTGGTATGGAATAGGCCACCCTTGGGGGGAAAGGGATTGTTAGTAATGGAGACTGAGAATCCCATTGCTAGGAATATACTCAGCCAGGTCGACCTCGCGGTTCTCCCTGGAAACTATCATGGTTAATTCCTGATGAATTCATCATGATGGGCTAACTGGCCTGTTTTCATTCTCATCTATCACCCTTCACTGGTGCTCCGCCAGCGTATCCCGTTAGCGAAGGCGGGGTGGGGCTACCATACCATTTCCACCCATAAAAAAAAAAAAAACTACATAATTGTGTACTGAACTATGTCGTTTTATTTGAGATTTCAAGAAGCGTGTACTCTTGGGTGTAGCCAAGTCGGTCGGTTACTCTGTAGCTTTCATCAATGCATAATTTTTTTTACAACTCAGGGGGCAAACGAGCATGCGGCTCACCTGATGGTAAGTGACTACCGCCGCCCATGATCACCCACAACACCAGCGGCATTGCAGGTGTGCTGCCGGCCTTTTAAAAAGGAATATACTCTTTTCTTGAAGGTTATGTTGTCGTATCGGTTCGGAAATACTGCTGCTGGAAGTAGATTCCAAAGGATGGTTGTGCGTGGAAGAAAGTGCCTTGACAAACGCACGGTGGAGGACCGCCACTCGTCCAGATGATTGGGATGAAACTTTAGTTGGTGGCGTGATGTATGGTGGTGAAAATCAGCAGCAGGTATCAATCCGAACAAATAATGGATAACATTAGAATGTATTTCCGAATTATTGTTATTGTATCGTCCCAAGCGGCGCTTAAATCGATCGATTATTCGATTCTTAATCGAATGTCCGCACACCTCGCGGATATGAAGCGATTACATTATTATTAAGTTGGAGGGCAGTTGGTGAATTCGTCCTTGCACTCGGCTTGAGATCACGTACGGTCGCGAATCGAGAACATATAACCGAACAGTGAACTAGGAGATCTTCATATTAAAGACCAAATATTGTGTATTTAAATATATTTGTGTAGGCCTACCAATCAAGAATTTATAACAGCATCCAGTCAAAGGTGGAAAGCAGTGCGGCGCATGAGATTCCTTCAAGTAAGTGCACGTACCTTCTTATATATTGTAATCGCTTCATCCTCATTATCAGAAGGACAGACGTATTTCCACCGCTTAACGGTGTCCCTACAGTTATTGCTATTAAACCGACATTTTGATTTTTCACCGACTTAAAAAAAAGGATGCACTTATCAATTCGTCGACATTTTCAATTTTAAATGTTGGATCGATATGAAAAATTCCTTTTTTTATCTCAAAAAAAAAAAACAAAAAAAAATACAGCCGTGAACATATTTAGTTTATTTAGTCTAAACATCTAAGACGCATCTTCTGGGTCATATTCGAATTGTATGTCAACCTCTTTCTTTATAACAACTTGCTCTATGCTCGGAGCGTTTGTTTCCTCGGGGACTGTATCGGTGTTGGATTCGTCGGTTAATTGGTCGGTAGCCTCGTTGGTACCTTCTATGTCCACCTCAATTTTCACTTGTATATGATTATCAAGCACTTGAACGGCCGCTGTGTTCTCACCTTGCTGCTCGCACTTCTCCTTCAACCTCTCCGTACTACCTAATATGTTACGTACAAACCTGCATTTCGGTTTTTTCCTCTGCGGCTCCATGTCTTCGTCTTTCATTTGTATCAGATCCTCTAAATTGATGCCAGTCCTCCGCTGCACCTCGAGCAACGTGGACTTCCATTTTAGATTGTGCTTCGTCAACTTCTCCACTTGCTTCCTCAGGATCGTGATCTCGTGGTCCTTCTCCCGCATCATTATCTGGCACATCAGCAGGAGGACGTCCACTCTTCTCTTCACCGGTCTCGTGGGATCGGTTATATTGTCGTCCACCTGGTAAGGAATTATTTATCACTATACTGTTATTAGCATAAAGAATAAGCGAGTTAAAGTGGCAATGGGCTGGTCACATAGCTCGAAGAACCGATAACCGATGGGGAAGAAAGGTTCTTGAGTGTTGACCACGTACGGACAAACGCAGTGTGGGATGACCCCCTACTAGATGGAGTGACGACCTGAAATGCGTTCCAGGGAGTCAATGGAAGCAGGTGGTTCAGGACCGTTCTTTATGGCAGTCTATGGGGGAGGCTTATACAATTTATTTTTTTTTATTTATTTTACACTTTATTGCACCATTTATAAAGTAGTAAATACAGTAAATATTATTGAGAAGTGATACAAAAGGCGGCCTTATCGCTAAGCAATCTCTTCCAGACAACCTTTGGGTAGAGTACATTGAGAAAAAGACAAAGAGTAGGTGGCGCACTATTAATTCTAGTATTTATATTAATCAGCAGTATAAAAACGTCATTAAGGGAGTAATAATAACATTTTTCCAATAAAAGGGATCGTAGATAGATAGACAGACACTCTTTATTGATTCCTCCAAAAGATTACAATAGTAAATTTATTATAGATACAAACAATTACAAGAAATGATCACAATGAGAAAACAATGGGCGGCCTTATCGTCAAAAGCTATCTTTTCCAAGCCACGCATCGTTGTTTAATTTTAAAAGAATTGATTATTAGAGTACATTTTTCAACCGGACAGGTAATTTATTATATAACACTACTGTCTGATTTACCCGCATTTCCCGCGGGAAAACAATCTGCCATCTGATTCCGAACATTCATCTGAATCAGCTGTTTTCGTTTCGGCCAACCTGTCCTTTCCACCCTGTATATTATTACTACCTGCCCGCGCGAAGCCGGGTGAGATCGCTAGTGTTGTGACTTACCATAGTGGCCATTACATCAGTGTTGGCACGACTGGAGCGAGCCGCCTTCGTTCTGGTCGCCAGCGCACGAAACTGTTGCGAAAACAACATTAAGTTTACCAAATAAATATTTTTTTTTATACGACTTAGAAAACAAAGCTGACGGCCAACCTGATGGAAAGTGGTAATCGTCGCCTATAGATATGAGCAGTACCATGGACATAACAGTACACACACATACTGTTCCGCCCATGATATCCCCCCATGCGTTGCCATTCCTGAGGACTCAGGTGTTATTCCTCTGTACCCAGTAAATTCACGCCACATCCCATCCTTCAAACCGAAACACAGCCATGCAAACACAACTGCTTCACGGTAGAAACACGAATGGGACAGAGGCGGCCAAGCAATCGACTTTTGTACAAAGTCTCCCTCTGGTAAATCAATTTATGATTGAATTAATGAACATATAGTATGTAAATTAACGTGAACCATTATTTAAAATTTCATCTCTGATGGTAATGACCTTTAACCAGTGCGTTAAAGCTTTAAATAGCTTTACATAGCTCGAAGAACCGACAACCGATGGGGAAGAAAGGTTCTTGAGTGGTCGGTCACCGGGTTGAATCGGTCAATTGGGGATCGGGCACTGGAATTGGGGACCGGTACACAGCAGAGGTCGCCAGTTCGGAGGCCGACCACATACTCTTTTATTGTTGCAGTATCCGGCCGTAGTACCTTTCTAATGCTCCTCAAATATTGCGTCTAAACTGCGCCCACCATGTACCCTCTTGTATAGGCATTCCGTCACCCGTATCCAATAGCTAGGACGGGATGCCTTAAATACTGGTAAATAAAATCTCATCATTTGTATATGCATTAAACATTTCCGAACGCAATATCCTTCTACCCTCCTTACCTATCCATATTCCCTATCAAATCTGGGATCACATTGGGGGGTAGATGGACAAAATCAGTCTACAATCCAACTGCGCGCCGAGCTGGTCAAGTTCCGCTAAGATCACGAATAAATCTCCGCCAGTTGCGAATTATTCAATCAGCCGCGATCTCCGAGCAACATACAGTGACACCTTATGCAAATCAACAAAAGTGTTGGATAAATTTGAGGATAGAACAGAAAGCGTACAAAAGATCTACACGCGGGGACTACGTGGACCAGGCTTGTCCTTTCACCCTTCTTTTTATCCAACAAATACTGTACCGCAAATCATAAAAAAAATACCCTATAGAACCGACCACCCATGAAAAATCCCTTCTCTCCTTATACGCGACGGTTACCACTTTCCATCAGGTGGGCCGTCAGCTTGTATGCCATTTTAAAAATGCATAGAAAGTGTCATGACTAGAACATTTGGGGGAAAGGGATTGTTAGTAATGGAGACTGAGAATCCCATTGCTAGCAATATACCCAACCAGGTCGACCTCCTCGCGGTTCAACCTGGAAACTATCATGGTTAATGCCTGATGAATTCATCATGATGGGCTAACTGGCCTGTTTTCATTATCATTTATCACCCTTCACTGGTGCTCCGCCAGCGTATCCCGTTAGCGCAGGCGGAGTTACAATACCATTTTCACCCATCAAAAACTAGAACACTTACAGGCAGCCGCGACTTGGGACATATTGGCAGATTCCTGACCACTGTCTTCATCGCCGGTTGACCATCCGCAGATCCATTCACATCGCCCTCATTGCCGTCCGCTGCCGATGATTCCGTGTTCGACCACAGCGAGTCCTGTAAACCAATTAAAAAAAAAAATCATTTTTATCAAAAAATACTTTTTTTAAGGTGTTTTTTAAAGATCCTTTTTATAAAGACATAAAATAGATAGATAGATCCGTAAAGCAGTTGTGTTTGCATGGCTGTGTTTCGGTTTGAAAAGTGAAATATGGCGTGAATTTACAGGGTACAGAGGAATAACACCTGAGTCCTCAGGAATGGCAACGCTTGAGGGGTATCATGGGTGAAACAGTATATACTCTGTTATATCCATGGTACTGCTCATGTCTATAGGCGACGGTTACCACTTTCAATAAGGACAGCTTGTTTGTCATTCTAAGTTGCATAAAAAAGAAAAAAATATCCTTTGAGATAAAAAAAGGATTTTCCAAATCGATTTACTAGTGACAGAGTTATGAGGTAACAATAAAAAAAATACAACTTACAATTTAGAACCTGTTCTTTTTTTAAGTTAGCAAATTGTAATGAATTTACTGAGAATTAACCACAATAGTTTCCAGTAGGGATTGCATGGTGGTGATCTGACCGAGTACATTGCTAGCAAAAGGGCCACCGTATTTGTAACCGTAAGGGTGAGGGATGGGCAGGAAAGTCCTTAAAACATCTCTAAAAGCCTAACTACGGTTAATGGACGATAATGGAATGGGAACCCCGCCTGTGCTATCGGTATACACTGGTGGGGCACCAGTGAGGGGTGATAGGTGAGGATGAAAGAGCAGGTCAGTTAGCCCATCGTGATAAAAACACCTGAAATTCAGCACGATAGTTTCCAGGGGGGAACATGTGGAGGTCGACCTGCGACTAACTATGGTTGTCAACCCGCCTGCCAAGCGTGGTAACTACTGGCAAAACTCCCTAATTGGGAAGGCATATGTCCAGCAGTAGACAGTTAAGGGTTAAAATAATAATAATAAATAATGGGGCCACAAGTCCCCATTACTAACAATACCGTTACAACTATTGTGGGCCTAATAATAATGATACAACCATACTCACATCAAGCAGAGGAACTGCATCGTCTAGTAAATAGATACGACCGTTGTCCAACTTGGACAAAACCCTGTCTTCGTTTCGAAAGTGCTTCGAACATATGACGGTTGTGTTTGTCGCGTTCCATTTGGGATCCTTGCGTAGGACACGAATCACTTCCACCCATTTCTCTCGACGTACTGGATCTTTGGGGATCCTAAAAATTTTAGATATAGATATGTATAATATATGACAATATATTATAGTTACAAGAGGAAGACTGTACAAAAGTCGTTTGCTTGGGTACCTCTGTCCCATTCGTGTTTCAACCGTGAAGCAGTTGTGTTTACATGGCTGTGTTTCGGTTTGAAAAGTGAAATATGGTGTGAATTTACAGAGTACAGAGGAATAACACCTGAGTCCTCAGGAATGGCAACCCATGGGGGGTATGATGGGCGAAACAGTATACTCTGTTATGCCCATGGTATTGCTCATGTCTATAGGCGACGATTAACACTTTCCATCAGGTGGGCCGTCAGCTTGTTTGTCATTCTAAGTTGTATAAAAAAAAACCCTTTTTTACATCATCAATGTTAAAAAAAACCCAATATATATGTAGATATTGACATCCTGTATATTTTTATAGGATGACAACAGAATGGTAATCCCATCTGTGCTACTGGTATATCCTGATGATGAGTGAGGGATGACAAAAGGGAATAGAGGAATAATTTTATATTCCAGTATTTTGGTAAAACATGCAGCATGACTTTTTTTTTGCAACTTAGAATGGCAAACAAATTGACAGCCCACCTGATGAAAGTGGGATGTCTATAGACATGAGCAGTACCGTGGATATAACAGAGTATACTGTTTCGCCCATGATACCCCCCATGCATTGCCATTCCTGAGGACTCAGGTGTTATTCCTCTGTACCCTGTAAATTCACTGCCATATCCCATCCTTCAAACTGAAACACGATCATGTAAACACAACTGCTTTACTGTAGAAACACTAATGGTACAGTGGTGCCAAAGCAAACTACTTTTGTTGTGGTTGCCAACTCACCTGCTAAGCGTGGCAACTATTGGCAAAACTCTCTTTGGAGAAGACTTATATTTATCAGTGGACAATTAAGATCTGATATACAGCTTAAACCATATATAACTGAATATACATCTACTGCAACTATGTTTAATGCAAATAAATAATTATTTTCAGCTAATGAAACCATTCTATGCCATGTGGTTTTGGCACAGGATAGGCCACCCCTTCCTTTCCCATGGGTGTTGTACATGCAACCTAGTTGGATCATGTGCTTGTTTAGTTTGCAGTGTCCAGTGACAGCCCCTGGTTAATACACACATATTATTTCTATTTCCTACTTACCTATCTAAGTATGTTTAACTTCCACTTAATAATGGTACCACTAATGTTTAATAATATTTTAAATATGAAAGTAAGTATATTTTTGTTAACTTATAATGCCTCAATTACTTAAACAATCACTATGAAATTTGGTATACACATACTATGTGGGATAGAGAAAGACATAGACTACTTTTCATCCCAATCAGTAAACATATCCAGGTCATGCGGACGAAATAGTGAGGGTATTATGGTTATAATGTATATATACACATACATGTATATATATTGTTATAGTAAGTAGTTTAATAAATTATATGTGTTTGATATTTTTGTGCATTACATGTTTTTGTATTTTATGCACGAAAACTATTAATTCACTCTTGCGCCACCTGCCCACTTCTATCTGTTCTCCCTTAACTAAAGGTTGTCTGTAAGAGATCGCCCTAGCGATAAGACCGCCTTTTGTACCTTTATGTGTATATTTCAATCTGTATTTATGTTACTGTATTTCACTTGAATTATTCACTTGTCATTGTATATTTTTATTTATGGTGTAATAAAGAGTTAAATAAATAAATAATAACATTTTATAATGGATATTTAAAAAGACGGCCTTCATGATAGGCACCACTCACTGGTGCCCCGCCAGCGTATACCGATAGCACAGGCAGGGTTACCGTTCCATTTTCAATTCATTAAAAGTACATTGTAAGGTACAGAATTTTAAGTTCAACAACGGAATACTTACGTATGGAAACTAATTCCGTCGCTAGCTTTGTCCACTTGAGTGCGGGAGTTGCATTCTTTCACTATACATTTACCCATTTTAGAAAGAGTTACAATTCAATTCACCTGACCAATGAGTACAGTATGTACTTTCTAACAACGTGTAATGATCAGATTCTAATAAAAGCACAAGATTTCTATACAGGAAATATTTCAATGTAACAATATTGAAATAAAATGTAATATTTTAAATTTAAATTGTAGTATTGTGATAGAGGAAATATAAAAACAATATAAATGCACGAAACGGGCTATGTTGAGATACAAATACAATACAATACAATTTATTAGAGTACAAATGTCATTGTCAAATGTCAGTGATGTGTCAATTTTTTTTTCTTATTTCATCGGCCTGGATGCTTAGTTTTTTATTGAATTCCGTAATGGTAACTTGGTTACTTTAAAAATAAAAATAGATCACAGTCTGTATTCTAAAAGTAACAATGTGTTCGTGCCAAAAAAAGCAACAAATACGTTTTAACTTAAGCCGCTTGACAACAAGTATATCTGCGATCCTAAATTTATGATTTTTTTTTCGGTAATGGTCGAATAGTTTTTGAGTTAAATCGTAATAAACTAAAAACCAATCATCTTTCCTCGTTATACATAATATTAATTTACATGATGTACTATCTCAATTTTTGCGTTTTTGTTGAAAGCTACCAAACGGCTTATATTTTTTATCATCTTCAACAAACATTGTTATATTTTAGCCAATATATATAAAATTTTAACAAATTATTTACTAAAACCTTTCTCGAAAATAACTTTATTCAATGGTGAAAACAGCATGAAAAGAGGTGCTGTAGTTTTTGAGTTTATCGTGAACAGAAAGGCAGACAGACAGACAGACGTACCGGAGGATTTTCTTTTATAATATGTAGTGATAGTGATATATAATAATAATAATTTAATACAATACCATCAGTAACAATTCGCATCACTGTTTTTTTTTATCATTGCTCTAATAAAAACTGTGTCTCCAATTTCAACTACCTTTGTTTTTCTAGACATTTTAGAAAAAAAAAAATTGTACTAGATACAGAAAAAATAACCCCCCTCCCGTGGGGGAATCTTATTTATTTATTTATTATAAGTTACAACAACAGTTTGCAAACAGAAATGAACCATTAAAAAAACCAAAACAATACAAAAATTTATCAATACGCAGTTTGCCAACCTTACATTGTAAACATCATTTAACACTAAGTTATAAGTAAACGTTATACATTTTTATAGATATACATTATATTACTGATTACAATTATGAACTTATTCTATGCAAAAAAAAAAAAAATCTAAACTTATTCCACCTCAAAACCATACAATGACCTCTTAAACCCAATAGTACTCTGATGAAAGATATCGATTTTTCCGCTAATTTTATTATACAATTGACACATTCGATGAATGGGATTATTATGTGAGACATTATTATTGGTGGATGGAATACTGAATAGCCGAGGATGTCTGAAAGAATGCTTACACGCAATCAAGTTCAGAGAAGCTGTTAATGATTCATTCAACAATCCATTTGCAATCCTAGAAAGCAAGCACAGATCACCAATTCTACGCCTCGTTTCCAAAGTTAAGAATCCAAAATACTTCATACGTTCCTCATAATCACGTAAATTTTGTTTTAAATGAAATTTCCTTGTAATGTAACGAAGGAAACCAGCTTGTACTGATTCGATTCTATTTATATCTACTTTATATATAGGAGACCAAACTGATGCACAATATTCTAAATTACTCTGAACGAGAGTTTTATACAATATAATAAAAGTGTTCGGCTTTTTAAATGGTTTAGTTGTACGAATTACAAATCCAAGCATTTTTTTTTAGCTTTATTTACAATAGAATCATAATGCAACTTAAATGACAATGTATTATCAAACCAAACTCCGAGGTCCCTTACTAATTTAGTATGTTTAAGTTTTATATCTTTAATGGTATAATAGTATGATATTGCGTGTTTATTTTTAGTAAATGTAATGTATTGACATTTGTCAATATTAAGAGTCATTAAGTTGTTTTTACACCAATCATCGACAATATCCAAATTATTCTGTAGCTTTTTACAGTCTTTCAAATCACAAATAGTTGAGAACAATTTAATGTCATCTGCGTAAGCCAGACACTGACAAGTAATGGTTTGAAGTAGATCATTAATAAAAAGCAAAAAGAGTAAGGGACCTAGATTCGATCCTTGTGGAACTCCGGATGTCGGTTTCATAACCATACAGTGCAACCAGTTGAGTTCGGTTCATTAAGTAGGATCTAAGCCAACGATGTAAATTGCCATGAATAAAATGTTGAGCCTTTACAAGAAGTATCTCATGATTAACGCGATCAAATGCCTTAGCAAAATCAATATAAATAGCATCCACCTGAGTCTTACTGTCAAAAGCCTTGCACAAATAATTAATATATGTTAACAGATTTGTATTTGTAGATTTTCCATCAGTAAAACCATGTTGTTTTTCACTTAATATGTGTTTTAGATGATTGTATAACTGATCATATACCAAAGATTCGAAGGCTTTACTAAACTGACTCAAATTACAAATGGGGCGGTAATTGCATATTTCAGTTTTATTACCCGACTTGTAAATAGGGGTTACCTTAGCTATTTTCCATAAGTCTGAGAAAATTCCTTCTTCCAGCGATTTATTAAATACAATAGTCAATGGTATAGATAATGCAGATGCACAGTAACGGACAAACACCGGAGGTATCCCATCGGGACCAGCACCCTTATTTATATTTATCTTTTTTATATGAGACAAGACTTCTTCTTTAGTAAATTTTAATGTAGTAAAATTATAATTTGATGGTGCAAATGTTGGAGTACGAGGTTTGTCCGGAAAGTACGTATAAAAGTTTTTTAAAAATTTTATTTTACAATTATTCAGGTAAATCAATTTTATCCCCTTCAAAGTACTCCCCCTGTGACATAATGCACTTGTGCCAACGTCGTTTCCACTGTGAGAAGGCTCCTTGAAAGTCCTCTGGTTGTAGGTTTCTCAGCTGCCCCGTCGTAGCTTTTTTTATCTCATTTATGTCCCCCAAATGCCGCCCCCGAAGTACCAATTTGGTTTTTGGGAACAAGAAGAAGTCACACGGGGCCAAATCCGGCGAATAGGGGGGGGTGTTCGGTCACCGTAATGGAATTTTTACTCAAAAACTCACGGACAACAAGAGAGGTGTGGGCAGGGGCATTGTCGTGGTGAAGAATCCAACGCCCCTCTCGCGCCAATTCTGGACGAACTCGTGCCACACGAGCTTTGAGGCGTCTGAGCACATCGACGTAGAATTTTCCATCAACTGTCTGGCCTGGAGGGACGAATTCTTGATGGACAATCCCCCGAACATCGAAAAAAACAATCAACATTGTCTTGACATTTGAGCGGGATTTTCTTGATTTTTTTGTTCGTGGTTCCCCGGATGTCTTCCACTCTTTGCTTTCACGGCCATTCTTGCCGAGTTTCGAGAGAAACTTGATTACGACGCGCTGCTCTTCAACGGAAGCGGGCTCCATGCCGACGGGGTTTCGTTAAGAGGTAACTTCACAGATGGCGTGACAAGCCAGTTCGCACCGCACGGCGGTCAGACCAGAACTGAAGCATTGTTAGGGACATAAGGAAGGGGTCCTGCGCTTACCTGGCCTCCCCACTCCTCTTTCTCGCATTCCAGAACACTTTTATACGAACTTTCCGGACAGACCTCGTATAGTTAATGCATGTAGCATTGCTATATGTAGTAGCAAAATATTCAGCGAAAAGATTCGCTACATCAGATCCTGTGCTTGCGGTTCGATCTCCATAAGTGACCATTTTAGGTACATCATTTGTTATTCTTTTACTTTTAGTATAAAACCAGAAGGCTTTAATATTTTTATTTAAATCAGTCTCTATTCTAGATATATATAATTTAAAACATTTATTTAGTGAATTTTTATTACGTGCTCTAAGCATTGAATAAGTATCGTAATCTCTAGGATTTGAATAAAGTTTAAACCTGCGATGGTATTTATTTTGCTCTTTTAGTGCCTTAATGAGTGATTTAGAATACCAAACCGGAAAACGTGAAACTTTCTCGCTATTGGAGTATGCCTATAAATAATATCCCAAATGTTATTATATAAGAACTGTACGAAATCATTACAATTCATTTGATTTGCATACAACTCCCAATCAACTTTGTTTAGATCTAAAATGCATTTTTCATAATCGGTCTTAATAAAATTAATCTTAATTTGTGGAGATTCTTCATTAAGAACAGACGGTATACCTACTGGGACAAATAATTCTAGGTGGATGATATGTGTCTATGACACTTAGAGGAACTGCTGTAATAATATTAGAATTCGATGCAAAGTTAGTCAATATAAGATCCAGTATATTATTCGAGCTATTAGTTACATCATTCAATTGCAGAAAATTAAAATCCCCCATGAAACTATTTAACAAAAATGATCTACCACTTGAAACACTAGATGAGGCTGGTAAATTATTATGCCAGCTTATAGTTTATGTTCAGCAGTAGTCAGATAACGGCAGATATGACAGAAAAATACAACAATTTTTATAGACAAAAACAATTTTTATTAATTCTTATTTTGTACTTGAGAGAACATGAACATATAAACCTATAAAGTTATTTTTTTTTTACAACTTAGATATATATAATTATGGACATACCATGCGCCGCTGCGCTACCACGTTGTCAACAGAGTGATAATTTCTCCAACAATTGTCAACACACAAAAATACTTTACATCTGTTACACATATATAAAAGTTCTGTATTTGGCTGCATGATGAAGCACTGTGCGCATCTTCTCTCTATTGAATCCTCATCAGGTAATCTTGGCATATGATGTTTTGGGTCGAACCAGACCGATTCGGGGACCAGTGGTGGTATCTTTGGTCTAGGATACCTCAGCAGTAAGCCCTTGCAAACCTTCAAGAAGTAATCAGTTTGTGGCAAATAATGCTTCGTAATAGGGTTATGACTATAGATAATATATCCATTTAAAACGCTCGTGTAAATGAGACTCCTTAGAGCTCTGAAGTACCATTTCTGAGATCTTTTCTTTGCGAACAAGTATGTCGATAATATTTGGTCCTGTGTCCCCGTATCCGCCGTATACTTCAAGTACGTGTGGAAAGCTGCTGGGCGTCCGTCGTGAAACTCGTTTCCGTGATATGTAGATGTGATTGATGTAACCACGCTAGAGTAATTCCAAGTGGTCAATGATATGTCGCCACAATGTTTATGAATGCAATTCCCTGGCGTGTCGCGTAGACGTCGTTTACTCGCATTCTTCACGTCTGGCGGTAGCTTTGAGCGATACTTCTTAATTTGTCCAACGACGTCTGTAGACCGCGTTTTTAAATATCTGGACAGCGACAACTGATCATACCAGTTGTCAACAAGCAACATATGTCCCACATCTAAATAGTCCTCCATAAGCTTGAGCACGTTAGCAGTCTCGTCGCCGAAGCCTCGGGGTTCGTTCGTACTTTCGTACGGCTGGAATAAGTATTTGAGGAGATATCCAGTCTTTGCCTCTCGCAGCTCCAAACATTTTATACAGATGTCTGGATCATCTTTTATTTGGCCGTCCCACAAAAGCAAGGATTCCTCCAGCTTCAATGCCTGCCTGGGCACGTAAAGGGACGAAAATTTCTCATTACAATGTTGGAGAATGGGCTCAAACTTGGCCACTTTACGGGCGTTGCCCTTTAAAGACGGCGAGAGTATGTAGTTGTCTGTGAAGTGAAGACATTTCAGCAACTGGTTGAACCTATCCTGGGACATGATCGTCTGTATGTATGGCATTCCAAAGCCTTTTGTACACCAATATCTTTTCATATCGGGTCTGTAAGCTACTCCCATGAGGCAGAGAATGGTGAAGAATCTATACATCTCAGAAACTGTAGTGTCTTCCCAGCTCTCTAAATATTTTGGAATTTTCCCTATTTCTGCGTACGTATCGATAATTTGCCACGCATACATGTTAGTTTCCTCGACAATAGATGTAATAATCGCCTCATCCCATATAAAAGTGAAGAGTTCGGCTGGATCTTGTGAATACGCAGTAGGCCCGGGAGATCGTTCGTACAACTCCTTTTTAGAAGTAAACGTACTGAAATCATCTGTCCAGGCGAATTCTTCTTGTTTTGTAGCATTCTCTGTTTTGTCTGCACCGATCTGATCAGGGTCTGCTTCATTTTCTGCACCTTCATTATCAGATTGATCATCTTCATACAGTATCTCCAAGCGGACTATTTGTGCAGCTTCACACAATGTCATATAGTGCGGTCCAAAGTCCTCGTCGTCTTCATAGTAATCACTGTTACCTTCGCTGGCTGAATCTGGTTCAATGAGGCGACTAGTCACATCGTCCACTCCGAGAATTTCTCCGACTACCTCTTCGTTTGTCTCTTGTGGTACGTTCGGTGGTTTTGGTACCTGCAAAGAAATGTAGTTCCATAAGTTTACTTTATACAGGTGATAAATTAAATCTTCAGAAACATAACTGTGATAACCGCATCCAAATTAGTGCAGTTTCTGTGTAATGCCAGAATAAACATACACACAGACTGAGAGACAAAATTTCTAATATTAGATGACAAATCTACTGTTTTTATTGAGATCCCATATACTATTTTTTATATATACTTTTTATTATATTAGTATATATATATATATATAAATTGCTACGTACCATTAATTCACTTTGTGGTTTTACATCATCCATGTTTTAGACTTCTTGTGCAGGACTTCTTTTTACATTACTGTAGATTGTTCACAGCTCCTAAAAGTATTATGTAAACTGTTAAATTTATTTTATTTACTCATTTGGAAAACACAATGGATACCATAAAAAAAGTACATTAGTGAATTATAGACATGCAAGACATAAGACAAGACTGATATCCTATAACACTATAACACAACATAACTAAGATGCAGTTTAATTAAACTTAACAATAAGATTATTTAAAAATACTGAAACAAATGTATCTGAAATAGTATATTAATTTATTTCAAACTTATATGTATAATAGGTTAAAAGAAAGATATTTTTTTATACAACTTAGAATGGCAAACAAGCTAAAGGCCCATCTGATGGAACTACCTACCGTGAAGCAGATGTGTTTCAGTTTGAAGGGTCTTTTCTATGCAGTTACTCTTCCCCTTTTTTTTAATGGATAATAAAGGAATGGTAAACCCACCTGCTATATCGGTATACACCGGCGGGGCACCAGTGAGGGATGATTGGTGAAGATAAAAAGGCAGGTTAGTTAGCCCATCGTGACAAATTCAATGTAAATTAGTCAAGATGGTTTACAGGGGGAACCACGTGGAGGTTAACCTGAGGAGGTATATTGATAGCAATGGGGACTAACCTCCCCATTACTAACAATCCCTTCCATCCAATCTTCCCCTTAGATGGGTGTATTCCTGACTCATCTATCACATATCCCAAAACTTAACCTTAGAGATGGCAAACATACATTTTACTTTATTCCCCCTTAGACAAGCATTTTGTAACCTCTGTAGGACCATCTCCAATCTTGCATTATATGGAAATCCTGGGAACGACATTAATGTCTTTCCCAGAAATAACAATATCATCTTACAGAACAGCTATTCCTGGTATCCAAGCCACTAATGACGTCATCAATTCAAATATTTATTCATTCTTCACAATACTGTGTGAATTAAGTATACACAGTGTATGTATTGTGGAGACTGATGGCTGAACTAGGAGAACCTGTGCTACAGCCACCAGGCGACTACCTCCAGACAACTTGTTACAATGATCAATGTAAAATCTATATCTGGAATATACCAGGACACGCTTTGACATCCAATGCCTATGGCTTTACTCTAGTCTGTTACTATGGCATGTGCACGACAAAAGGAAAATGTTGTTTTTATATTTTGCTTTTTGTTTTTTTTTTGTTTTTCATTCTTTTATCTTTTTTACTGTGTATGTTTCTATTATGTGTATGTTTGTATTGTAATTTGTGTGCTGTAAGTAATGCAAATAAATTATCTATCTATCTATCTATAGAGACCTCTTGGATTAAGAGTCTTGGTATATTCACTGTAAGAAAACTAGCTGTCCTATCATCAACACCCACTTGTGTGTATGTTTGCTCCAAATCAATTTTGGAGTACTGCAGCTGTATAAATGCTTCATTAAACGTAAGTAATGGGTAGGTATCAGTTTTGGTAGCTGTATTCAATGTGGACCGATAATCCCCACACAAGTATACTTGTCCGTTTAGTTTTATCTCCGGAACTTATAGGCGTAGCCTACTCTGAATGTCTAGTAGGTTCATATACCACTTCTTTAACTAATCTATCTACTTCTTTAAAAACTCTATCTCTAATTGCATTTAGTGGGTCTCTTTTTAGAAATTTAAATATGGAATCCTCGTTTGGTGTAAGACTCATCAACCGTCCAATATGTCTGCCCAAATTTGACTCAAAAACGTCTTTACATTTACATATTACTTGGTTTTATTGGAGCTTTATCACAAAACATTACTTTAACATTATTTATCCCTTGTATACCAATGCTTAGATTTGAAAACCATTTTCTGCCAATTAAACTAGAATCTTTTGTTATCAAAATCTTTATATTTTTAATATATTTGTTTACATTTACATGTGTACAGATGTACTGTTGTTTGACCTAGTAACTACTTACCTACTAATTTGCCTTCAGTATAAGATTTTAATCTAATATCTGTTATTTCTATTTCGAATAATTTACCTTTCCATATTCCTTTGACAGTTGTCTCAATAATTATTGTATATGGACAGCTTGAATCCACGTCCATCTGAAGTTCTGTTCCATTTAGAAATACCCTAATCATAATAGGATCCACTGAGTATTGTTTAATACTATTTATTTATTTATTCTTTATTGCACAATAAAATTTTGTACAAATGGCGAGCTTAATGCCATATGGCATTCTCTACCAGCTAACCATTGGGTAAAAACAGAAAGCGTATGAAGGGCAGATGTGGTGAAAAATATGTGACAATGATAGTAACACATTAAGGCAATACACAATATAAATATAATATACACATAAGAAATGCACATATAATACATACACATTACTATTGACTCCTATCTAATACAATTCATCCATCAAAATTACATTTACAGTTGTACTTTTTAAATTGATTGGACTTTAGCAAACAAGCTGTAATTAAACAAGCAGTATGTGTCCCAATTTCTCACAGTAATGACACTTGCTCCAATGAAACCTGCATTCTCTGTGTGGTTAACCACAATGGAAAGGAGAGAAAGGGGTTGTTAGTAATGGAGACTGAGAATCCTATTGCTAGCAATATACCTATGAATATAATACTAATAATACAAATATAATAATAATAATAATACACAGTCATCTGTCTCTTAAAGTATGATCCAAATTAGTAAAATTACAACATATTTAGGCGTGAATTTACATGGTACAGAGGAATAACACCTGAGTCCTCAGGAATGGCAACGCATGGGGGGGTATCATGGGTGAAACAGTATACTCTGTTATGTCCATGGTACTGCTCATGTCTATAGGCGACGGTTACCACTTTCCATCAGGTGGGCCGTCAGCTTGTTTGCCATTCTAAGTTGTATAAAAAAGAAATTTCATAATTGAGCAATATAATTGTTTCTCCTTCTTCCTGATTTTTATTGTGAAATTTGTAAGATTCTACAATTTCCTCAGGTTTTGGATGCAAATGTTTATTCAGAATACCCACTATTTTATTTTATTTATTTCAAATTAGGCACACCAACAGTATACATATTATACATAAAATAAATAACATTTTTTGTGTAGCATGCTGCTATGCATACCTATAGCAGGCGTACACAACATTGACTACAGATTACATGCATATACTATAAAAGAAAATGTTACATCAGATATTTTATTTGGAGATAGCAAAGAAATGATTAAATCATACAATTCGGGGTCACAAAACGCCAGTAGATTCACCTTTTTCTATGAATCTTCTCCAATTTCACTTTGGCAAAAACCAAACCTTTCAATGTAATTTTGCCAACACGTGAATACCTATAATAGGCATGTGCATTAATATTGTATTGTATTTAATGTTTGCTATACCTATATGTTATAATGCAATATGCTGTTGATGTTCCTTAAATAAATAAATAAATAAACACCCATATGCAATATCAAACTCATTGTTATTATTTATTTATTGCATTCCATAATAATTAATTAATACATAATACATATTTATTACATAAGGTTTCAATTATGGACCCTGTTGGGCACAGCAAGTAGGAGAGAGGAGGGCAACACTTTTTTCACTTTCGAAATAGTGTATCACGATAGGTACGTATTTTCTTATTGTTATTATTCATTATTTACGTATTAGTGTGTATCTATTCATATCGTAATTGTTATTAGTATTATATAACTATCTGTAGTTTATAATTATTTATATTTATATGTATAATTTGAACAATAATCACTTTATTTCACTTTTCCACTATTTTCATTCAACCCTTCTATTATATACACACTAATGTACTCACTCTGGACAGGATGATATCTACAGACTTTTATGATCTACCCACTTTAGTACACAACCTCCCCATTACTAACAATCCCTTCCCCCTCCTTTCATTATCATTAGCCCACAGCAGTAGGTATTGTTAGTAATGGGATCTAGTTGCTTCATTGCTAGCAATGGACACTGTCAGGTCGATCTCGACACAGTCCCTATTGGAGGGGGGGAAAGGGATTGTTAGTAATAGAGACTGAGAATCCCATTGCTAACAATATACCCAACCAGGTCGACCTCCTCGCGGTTCTCCCTGGAAACTATCATGGTTAATTCCTGATGAATTCATCATGATGGGCTAACTGGCCTGTTTTCATTCTCATCTATCACCCTTCATTGGTGCTCCGCCAGCGTATCCTGTTAGCGCAGGTGGGGTTACCATACCATTTACACCAATTGAAAAAAAAAAAGTCCCTATTGGAAGGGGGAAAAGGAATTGTTAGTAATGGAGTCTAAAAAACCCACTGCTAGTAATAGACCCTATCAGATCAACCTCCACGTGGTTCCCCTGGAAACCATTGTAGTTAATTCTAGTAGAATTTGTCACAATAGTTAGCCTATGACCTGACCTGCTTTCATCCTCACCTATTATCCCTCATTGGTGTCCCGCCAGCATATACCGATAGCGCAGGCGGGGTTACCATTCCATTATCACCGATTAAAAAAAAAGTCCCTATTGGAATATATTGTGGTACTTGGTAAATTCGTCACAATGTGCCAATTTATCTACTTCATCCTCACCTAACATCCCTCGCTGGGGGAAAAAGGAAACTTTACTAACAAAGTAATGGAATCTAACTGCCCCATTGCCAGCAATACACTCTATCAGGTCGACCTCCACACAGTTCCTCCTGGAAACTTTAACTGACCTACTTGTGTCGTCACTGGTGCCCTGCCAACGTATACTGATGGCGCAGGCAGGGTTAACATTTCATAATCAACCATTAAAAAATAAAATTTCTTACTAGTACATAGGGTTACCATAACATTTTCATCCATTAAATAAAATGGTGGCGTGGCATATATTTCATTATCACACATCATATAGTATCTTTAATAAATATGCGCTCACACGTTTGCATTATAAATCTCTCTATGCAAGTTAAAAAAGGAAAACCGGTGCAAACCCTTAGCATTGGGATTTTCAAATAACCTATATTTAAAAAAAAACACGTGTGGAACAGTGGTAAGGTTTTATATTGATACCCTAGTGGTCTTTTAGTCTCCCTCTTGTTAATATTACAGCGAAAATATTAGGTCAATAGATAGTCTTAGAGACGGAAAATGATGTCAAAATTATTATAAATTTAGTTTATAACGGTCCATAAAATAGTACTTTCATGAAACAATGAAATTAACATATAAATTTTTTAAATAGGTTTAAAAACAGTATCTTAAATCGACCATTTTTTATATTTAACTTACCTTTATAAAAAGCTAAATATCTCAATGCGAAACTGGTGATATTTAGTAAATAACACAATATTTTATGCGCTATATTAATTAATTAATTTCATAGTTATTCCTAAAAAAAACATAGGAGAATAAACAATAACAAATAAATAACAATAAAGATTAGTAAACGGAAGACGCGAATAAGTTTATAAGCGGTTCAATCATAGATTATAGAGACTATGTCCAATTACTAAACAAACAGATTAATACAATCGATATTGGTATCGATTCTGAGGCACCATTTCTGTATATATAACTCTTTTAACTAATATTTTAATTTAATAATTGCAACAAATTAATATTTTATGGACTAAATTTATAATATTTTTAACTTAAATTTATTAAAAAACTTATTGAAACTGGTCTTAATAATAAAGACTTGACTATAATATGAACTTGAAACTTTAATTTTAGAGATAGGTTTAATAAAATAGTGCTTCAGAATTGACCTCATTGATTAGCGAACCAATTGACTGTTATGGGTTGAGGGGAGAATAGAAGTAGTAGTGTTGTCAGATATTAATTTTATGTATACCCAAATGTCAAAAAGTTATTCTTTTAGTGGATACTTTACTATTTTATTCATTTTAACCTATCAAAAACTTGTGTTGCTTTTTCACTAGATCAAGTATCATTCAAGTGTATTGTCAAGTGATTTTTTTTTCATTTATTTGGGTAAACAAAAGTGACATAATAAAGAACAATAGACAGGTGGTTGAAATAACGTAGTGTAGTGACTATTCGAGTCAATTTGATTCGAGTACTAATTCAAATATTTACATATTTACATAGTACTCAATAACTCAAGTAATATACATAATTCAAGACGCTGCATTTACTTACTGCTACCTTTATTCATAATCTTTTACTGAATTTTTTTCTTATAATGAAATAACTTATGACAAAATTATAGGAGTAAGTTCTTATATTTTTGAATTATCGTTTCGAAAAATTATTATGTGACTGAACATTTACATATTATCTTCATTAAATTACACATTTCTTCATTAAAATACAATTATACCCAAATTAGTATTTGTTTGAATCTTCTAACTTGAGTTAAGATTCATTTATTTTTATAGCGAACTTAGTATCAAACAAAAGGGGGGAGGGATTGTTAGCAATGGAGTTTGACAGCCCCATTGCTAGCAGTATACCCTATCAGGTCGACCTCCACATGGTTCCCCCTGGAAACTATCGTGAATAATTCTTGTTAAATTTATGACGATGGGCTAACTGACCTGTTTCATCCTCATCTATCATCCTTCACTGGTACCCCGCCGGTGTATACCGATAGCGCGGGTGGAGTTACTACTTCATTAACACCTATAAAGAAGTATCAAACAAAATATTCGAATACTAAAAAAGGTCGACTCGGCTTGTAGATAGTTGTAAAAGACAAACTAATCCACAATAGTAATTTTTGGATAGCTCTGCCGAGGTAGCATAATCATTTGCTAGTAATTAGCTTATTGCTAAATTGTTGTTTTTAGTTTTTAAGTAATACAAAGAAGTGTGATAGTAAATATCGTTTATATTAATTTTTGAAAGTTATTGTTAGAAAGAGACATTCGTATAAGAGAAAGACAAAAGTGTGAGCAAGATCGGAAGTTTTTTATTTGATAGGTGAAAATGGTACGGTAACCCCGCCTGCGCTAACGGGATACGCTGGCGGAGCACCAGTGAAGGGTGATTGATGAGAATGAAAACAGGCCAGTTAGCTCATCATGATGAATTCATCAGGAATTAACCATGATAGTTTCCAGGGGCAACCGCGAGGAGGTCGACCTGGTTTGGTATATTGCTAGCAATAGGATTCTCAGTCTCCATTACTAGCAATCCCTTTCCCCCCAGATCGGAAGTATTGTTTTGTCTTGCTTTGCGTATGCTTTATTTTTTAAAAGACTGAACTTATTTACAACGTAACAAGAGGACGACAACCAGAGAGCTAAAAAAAAAAAGAAAGAAATTTTATTAAAACTAATTAAATTCTATTAATAAAAGTTACAATATAAAATTCCTATATCTAATTATAATTAAAGTTACTGTTGGAAGTGTGTAGCAAGATTGCGTTTTCAAGTCGTCACATAGTCCTGCCTCGTGCTGCAGCGTCAGCAAATACGAATAAAAAATAAAAATAAAAAATATTTTCAATTTAACTTTATTTGCAGTACGTTAAATCATTAAACATTTTACTACAACTATTTTGTACTGTTATATAGGCTTTATGTCGTAATTGAAATAAGTCTTATGTAAACTGAGTAAAAAAAAACTATATAGAATAGATGTATTTGAACAATCGAGTCTTAAAAACTAGTTAAAAATCAGTATACCAACATTAACTTTTGCCTAATATCTTGAAAGAAAAACAAAGCGCGCCATTTTTAGTGTTGCAAGTAATTTGACTTAAACTTACCCAAATCAGATGGCCATTTTTTTCAATTTGAATTTAGAATTAATTTTAAAGTAATAACAACAATATTGTTGTTATAAAATATATATTTATGTACAAATTAATAAAAGAAATAAAGATATTATATGTATTATTGTATACAGATATGTATTAATTTTGATTTTAATTGTATGAGTTACTTATATATGTCAACATATTTCATATTTTTTAATAGAAACATCTATATTGTTTCCTTCTATTATTGTACGCACACTGCCCGCTAATAATTAATGCTCCTTTCCACTCAGGGTTTGCTGGAAGAGAACTCTTACAGAGTTAAGCTCGCCTGTTGTACATCTTTATTTTATATATATTATATGTTGTAATTTTTTGTGTACAATAAAGAATAAATATATAAAAAAAAATCGAATTTGAATTTAGGTATGTTTTTTTTTACAAGATCTGCTTACTTTAAGACTAGATGTAGTTTTGTAATATGTCCAGTTTTAATTATTATTATTAAATGTCAAATAGAAATTCTTGTCAGTTATAATGTTACTTATATTGATTGTCAATAGATGGCGTTAGTGAAGCTATGTAGTCGAGGGCTCGCTGTATCGCCGCTGGTATGGGCGGTGGCGTTGGCAGATGATCACCCTGGGCTTGGAAACCATTCTCGTCAGCTCTGTATAGCACATTTATTATCTGTGAATTACAAAAAGAAATTTAACTGTAATTAAATACAGAATTAGTTACGTCCATAGACAAGCACTAAACTAATATATGGGACATCAATCGCGAATATGGCTTAAAACGAAAAAATAACATTTTTTAAAGAGTGATAATGAAATGGGGATGAAAAGACAGGTCAGTTAGTTCATCATGACGAAATCAACGATAAATTAGTCACGATAATTTCCAAGGGGAACTGCGTCGAGGTCGACCTGATACGATTTTTGATAATAATAGGGACTAACCTCCCCATTACTAACAGTCTCTTGTGGAGTGGAAGGGATTATTAGTAATGGGGACTACCAATCCCATTGCTAGCATTATACCCCGCCAGGTCGACCTACACGTGGGCTTCCCTTGAAATCATCGTGCTGAATCCCCGGTGTATTCATCACGATGGGTCAACTGACCTGCTTTTTTATTCTCACCTATCATCCCTTACTGGTGCCCCGCTAGCGTATACCATTGTCATCTATTAAAAAAATAGTCCCTTCCTCCCCCAGGCCATGTGTCAGTTATAGGTATCAAGACATACGAACTGACCTGGCCATCAGGCGCTGTATATTGGTACTGGCCTTCCACCAGAAGGCTGGGTTCGCTGCCGCTGGACTGCACTGAGCCGCGCTGTTCATGGTATATTCCGCCTTCTGAAAAACAATTACCAAAAATTTATTTAAATAAATACATATTAATGTCGCAAACACAATAACATAACAATACCCTTGAGGGTCGTAGCTAGACCCAAGTTTAAAGTAAGGCAAAAGAATTTTTTGATAGGGCAGAAACCATAATTAAGTGATTTCAAAAGCGAATCTGTCTAATTTTCTTGGCGGCCTTCATTTTAAGGTAGGGCATTGCCCCTAAATGCCTCCCATCCCCTAGCTACGACCAAGCATTCCTGCCATTCCCGTGGGTGTCATAAGAGGCGACTAAAAGAGGGCGAGGGATAAGTAGCAGCGTCCCTATTAAAACATCTCCAAAGCCTAACTGTGGTTGCCAATCTGCCTGCCAAGCGTGGCAACTACTACCGAAACTCCCTTAGGGGTGGGTTTATGTTCATGCAGTAGACAGTTAAAAGCTGATGTGATGATGAAGACGTACTGTTTTTGTGAAAATCGCATCCAATTTGGTGCAGTAAGTTTTGCGTAATGCCGGAACACACATAAAAACAGACTTCTGCTTTCTATTGAAACCGTCGTGGATAATCCGAGCAGTAAGTACTTTATACCATTCTCAATTTCGTGTATAATATAGTATATGTCATATATGCGTAAGTATATTTGTTATTCATATATATTTATTATTTTATATATGTAATTTTAGTATGTATGTATATCAGGCTGCAGTACTTTAGGATGATCTCATTAGAAAAACGCAGGAAAGTCTCTGACGCCATATTTATGTATAAACTTATAACATATAAATTACATTGTCCTCAGTTATTAAGCCTTGTAAAATTGCGAGTCTCCTTCTAGATTACCTCGTGGACCTATAACTCCGCTAATATCCATTTAGAAGAACTGTTCTGGGTAGTAATTCTCCAATGGTAAGGTTCTGTAAGATTATAAATAGCTGCAGTGACCAGGTCGATATTAATTTTGATACTCCAATTGTTATTGTACGAAATATCTATAAATATATAAAATGAGTCGTGCTGCTGGATCTGCTTATGGATATGGTGGCTTTAGTTGTTAGTTGTTAAGTATTTAATAATAGTTGTATATATATTTCTCTGTACTTATTGTTATACATGTATTAATATACTGTGTTTGCCTATAAAAAATTGTTACACTTTTCTAAGCTCCATAATTGTATATATATTTACATTATTTTGTGGAAACAATTGTTGGTAAACCTAAATAAATAAATAAATAAATAAATAAATAATTACTAGTACCGCATTCGAGTATTCTGACACTTCCCTACGGTTGACTGGGAGAGAATGCTTTTAGCATTAAGTCCGCCATGTACACATATATGTACTAATGAATAAATAAATAAATAATTCCTTGTCAAATCATCAGTTGGAAAACATCTCGGTTATTTTTTGATTAATTCGTCATTATTGCCAACTGACCTGACCTTTATCCTTGCCTATAATCCTTCACTCGTTAGAAAGATTGAGAATCCCATTGCTAGCAATATACCCAACCAGGCTTGTTTCGCGGTTCCCCCGAACTATCATGGTTAATTCCTGATGAATTCATCATGATGGGCTAACAGCCTGTTTTCATTCTCATCTATCACCCTTCACAGGTGCTCCGCCAGCGTATCCCGTTAGCGCAGGCGAGGTTACCATACCATTTTCACCCATAAAAAAAAATCCTTCACTCGTGCCCAACCAGCCTACACTGTGCAGGTGAGGTTATTTGGGCATGTGTGCGTTGGTTTGCCCTAGCCGATCGGGTAGTTCCAAGTTTATTTTACTGGATTTGCAGTAATAACGAATTTGTCGTTGTTTTGGATACAATAACTATATAAATTTACAATATTTTGAATATATATATATATATATATATATATATATATATATATATATATATATATATATATATATATATATATATATATATATTCTAATAAGAATTATGAAAGAGATTTATCGAGCAATATATATAGGGGCCGCCGTAGTCGGTATATAGTCGACCAAATAGGCGACGTGCTGAAGAAGGGCCAAATTAAAAGTATATATATATATATATATATATATATATATATATATATATATATATATATATATATATATATATATATATATATATATATATATATATATATATATATATATATATATATATATATATATATACGAAGAGGTGACGGTATATAATGATTAATAGAATTAAATTATAACGAATGACGTGAATGTGGCTGTTGATTAGTGGGTCGTCGCAATTTGCTTCACACTTCACGTTCCTTTCAGCAACCATAGATTATGCAGTAACAGAGGTTATCATTCCATTTTCATCCAAACAAAACAAGTCTTACCAGTTTGTAACGCCCATTTATAGGTGCCATCAGGGTTGGGACCCTCAAAGTCATTCCTGATGATGGCTTCCTGTTGCTGACAGCACACCGTCGTCACTATCATCAGGACCTGTAAATAAATGTTGAAATTTATGGCAAAGATCCTTTTAAAGTTATTAGAATGGAAACGATATTGTGCTATTCAAACGACGTTCGTACCAAGTCTTCGTCTGTACCAACAAACATTATATATTTTCCATTCTGGTGATTTCAATTGTGACAAAATCATTTACTTTGATTAAAAATCTAAAATGCTGAACCAAATTTGATAAAATTTCTGTTAGACCAATCTATATCTTTTCAATACGATAAAAAAAAGAATTTTCCAAATCGATTTAGAACTGATGGAGTTATGATATAACAATCATAAAACAAAAAAAAAAATTAAAATTTAATCGAGAACCTACTTCTTTTTGAAATCGGTTGAAAAGAACATAAATATTTTCAATTTTTTAAATGTATTATTAGGATTTTAGTTCAAGCCAGCTGGTCGTCAGGGCAGGCTAAAGTTTTTTTTTGATGGATGAAAATGGTATGGTAACCCCGCCTGCGCTAACGGGATACGCTGGCGGAGCACCAGTGAAGGGTGATAGATGAGAATGAAAACAGGCTACAAACAACATCTATATATATCATATTGGGGACTAGCGGCCCGTCCCGGCTTCGCACGGGTGGACATTTTTCATTTTAAAAAGTGGCCATTAAGGCTGCACACGCGACGAAAGCTTAAAAATGGAGTAACTTCTCCCGTTCTCCCAACATTTCTCTTCACTGCTCTGCTCCTATTGATCATAGCGTGATGAAAAGTATACCATAACCTGCCCAGGAGTATGAAGAATAATTGTACCAAGTTTCGTTAAAATCCGTCGAGTAGTTTTTGTTTCTATAACGAACATACAGAAAGACAGACAAAAATTTTACTGATTGCTGCATTTTGGGTATCAGTATCGGTCACTAATCACCCCTGATAGTTATTTTGGAAATATATTTCATGTACAGAATTGAACTCTCTACAGATTTATTATAAGTATAAATAGATAGAAGATAACACCTGTGTGACATTCTCTTTCTATATTATATATGTAGGTTTATTTAATGTTTTCCACATTATCTTAATTTGGATGACCTTAGCTCATCCACACAGCTTTAGTTTTATTGGCATTACGAAACCCTATTATAATATCGTTATAGTCCAAAAAAAAAACGTCAGTTTGCGTAACTTTATTAGTGTTACAAATCTCTCATCTTATTTGTGTAGCGGTCATAATGTGGGTGTATTTTCATAATTTCTAAACTTATATAAAAAACACGTGAGAGAGAAACTTTGCGCTTACTCAGTTTGATTAAAGAGGAAAAAAAAAATTTTTTTTTTAAATTGTTGTTATTGTGTTTCTTTTCTTTCTTTTTTTTTTTTTGGTTAGGTTTTCTCTTATACGTTGGGAAGGCAAAAGGACTAAGTCTGTACAGCCATTGTCTTCAGTTTATATCTGGTAATTTCGTATTTTTTTAAATCGATCAATCTCAAGGGATTTTACTTCTTATTTTATTGATTCTGAAATAAAAAATGCTTTGCTTGTATGTATTCGTTCGACACAAGCTATTAGTTTTAAAGATGAAATTGAAACTTTAACTCACAATAAGCGAATTCACAAAAGAAGCAAGTTAGTATATACTATATAGCAAGTTATAATCTATATCTTTTTAAACAAAAGATACTAAGAATAGACGGCAGACTAGCTAATGCAGAGGTTTCGTACTATCTAAAGTCTCTTATTATTTTAAGTATTGAATGTCATTTATCTAATTGTTTTTGATGCACATATTAAAACTCTGCATGGTGGCTTGCAAGTTATCTTAAATTATGTCAGACAGTACTGGATATTTCGTTTAAAAATCTTGTTGTAAACAATTAGCAGTAGTAAAGATGTCATTATACTCTCTAATGTCTTTAAAACAAGTAGTCAAAAATACATCCTAATATTGACTTAGGTATTGTTTCTGGCATGTTTGCAGAGAACAGGGTTAATGATTTTATTGCTATTTTACGTAATTATAAGGCAAACTTTCATGAAAGATTAATGACAATAAGTAATCATATTGTAAAGACTGTATTCCTCACTGCATGCTCGTACCTGACGACAAGAGATTTTATAATGAAATAATTTAAATTTGTATTTTGTAATTAATGTATATTTTAAAAATAATAATAGTTTGTTTAATGAATAATATAAAAATGTAAACTATGGGTATATACCTGAAAATAAAGAGATTTATTATTATTATATTATTATTATTGTAGTCTTAGTGAAAGATAGATAGATACTCCTTATTGTTTCCTCCAAAAGATTACAATAGTAAACTTATTATAAATACGAACAATTACAAGAAATGTTCACAATGTGAAAACAATGGGCGGCCTTATCGCTAAGAGCGATCTCTTGCAGGCAACCTTTGGATGGAGAGGAGTAATTATAAACAATTTGGTGGGAGGCACGATGAAAAATTCTGTTAGTTCTAAATATGGAGATGTGATAATAGATTACCACCTGGTAAATGGCTTTTGGACCGAGTTGTAGATAAATATCCAGGTGCAGATGGTACAACACGAGTTGTTACATTTAGACATAAAAAAGATTTTCTTAGAGACCTATAAATAATAGTATATTAATTTATTTTAACATATATTATATAAGTAGGTAGGTATTGTATATATATATAGTGTATGTATTTATGTAATATTTTATTATATATTTTAATATTTTATTTAACTGTATATTTGTTTATGTATTAATAGTTGTAGCACTTCAGCTGCCCGCTAACGAAATGCTTTCTCACTGTACTGCGTTGACTGGAAGAGATCTCTGTCAGAGATAAGTCCACCCTTGCTCACAACATTTATAAATACATTATTTTATATGTAAGTTACAAGTGCAATAAAGAATATATTTTATCATACATATATATATATATATATATATATATATATATATATATATATATATATATATATATATATATATATATAAGTTGTGCCCTTTGCCACTAAATAATTGAAATTTTGCTAATTTTTTCACCACTTATATACCAATTTGATTTTTGTTATCTCACTTTGTGTTACTTGTTTACTATATTGTGAAGGACTATAGTAGTCCTTGGGTAGAGCGGAATGTTTAGTTAATAACTGCTATATAAACTCTTTGTTGGCACTTTATACAAAAAAAGAGAAATAATGTTTTTTATTTGACACCTTTAAGTGTGACGTCCTTGCACAAATAATAGAAACACATTCAAGATCAATATACGACTTTATTTTTGTTCAACTATAATTTGCTATAAACCTAAATGAAGCAGACATTTGTCAACTGTCAGCATTGTGGTGAACCTTTGCCGAGCATTTTAGAATACAATATAGCAGGAAGTAATCTTACTGTCGTCCCTCGGAATAATTTGGTTTATTAACTGTGTTTTCTATCAACAGAGAATTAGTTGGGAATTGAAATTGACAAGATTGATGAATGTGGAAGAAGCGAAAGAGGTTTGTTTGAATCGAAGCATTTGACGTTCCATTGTTTCTGCCTACCCTAATGGGAGACAGGCGTGACAGATATGTATGTATGTAGGTATGAAATTGACAGATACTGTTTTTTTTTTATCGGCTACATTCAAATTCACGTTCTTATGCAGTTTACGGGGATAAGTCACGGTAGATTTTTTAAACTAAAAAGAAATGGTAACCCCGTCTGTGCTAAGATTTTAATAAGAGACAGAAGAAATAAAAAGGGAGGGAGGGGGGAGGGGGAGGTAAGGATATTTGTACTTTGTTAAATTTTAAGTTACGAGGATTATACCAATCGCTATTGTATCCTGTTTTGTTTCACAGGATGGTAATAGAACGGTAACCTCGCAGGCGCTAACGGTATACGCTGGAGATACACTAGTGACGACGACAGGAGAGAAAAGGTCAGTTAACCCATCGTGATGAATACACCTGGAACTCAGCAGGATGGTTTCCAGGGAGGTCGATATGAAAAAGTATATTGCTAGAAATGGTACTGGTAGTTCGCATTACTAACAGTCCCTCTCCCCTCATTGTATCCTGTTAGGACGATCTGCACACGGCCCTCTGAATGCCATTGTAGTTATTTCTCGGTGAATTTACCACGATGGGCCACCACTCTGCCAACGTAAAACGTAGACGGTATTAATATTCATGTCAAATTAAAAATATAAGTTTAAATTTAAAAGATTTTTACGGCTCAGTACCAACTTACATACAGGCATTGCTCCATACTATGAATCAATCATAAAATTCTGTATTTACTCTGTAAATACCTTAGATTATAAAGTTTATAGATTGGCAATGTAAAAGAGAGAAAACATGAGGCACATAGGTAACTAGAACACTTATTTACACGATATGAGCTCGAAGTAAATTTGGCAGGAGTATGATGAAAGTAAGTTCTAATTATTTTTATGTTTTTAAGTGAATTACGCACAGTTTTAAGAGTGTAACTATAGTTAAAAATAAAGTGTGCGGTACCTGTAACATAAATTAGAAAAAAAAAGAAATATAACACTGCACATTTTTCAAAAAAATATGTTTCAAATATTTATCTCTTTATGATATTACTAGTATAAAACAATCAGATATATTTTGTACAATAATTAGTAGAAAAACATATGTAATTTAAGCCGAGAAACTTCTACGATTTAATTTAAAATTGTAATAAATATTTTAATTTTTGCTATTGCAACTTCAATTTCATATAAATTTAAAACCGTCTCGTGCACACGTCTACAAAATACGCAAACAAGTGAAACCATTTTCTTTTTTCTTTTTTATAATTGCGTTGCCAGTTAGTACATATACTCTTTGGTTATATTGTAACCTTGTAATTGTTACTTTTTGGCTGATGGCTTTCGCCAAAGTCACAATAAATGAAAAAAAAAAATCTCTTTGGTTACTGCGTCTATGGCTAGTACATTCATTATTTATTGATCTTATCATCGATTTACGAATATTTTGTAATAATTCATTCAAGCTTACAAATATTTAACGGTACGTAATCA